GGAAAACCACTGACAAGGATAATCTATCTAGAAAGACCTATTCACAAAGTCGTGACCTTACTTGAGACTGACGAGTATACTAAAACAGACTCTAACAATGACACTACTTAGAAAATCACCTTAAGAGAGTAAGGGGTGATTTGGTGGGAGTGTAAGTGTCATAAAATTACTCAAATTTGGTTCCAGAAGTTAGAATATATAATATTTGTTTGTATCGTAAATCTGTGTCTTTTATTTTGGAACAAGTGGTATCTTCCTCACCGAGTTACCGCGAGAAGTGATGTGAGATGTGAGATGTGACTTGTATGTGTATGAGGAAGCACGAGAACCGCTTTGTCTGAGCCATCCGCAGCACCTGCGCTGCCAATTACTCGAGAAACAGGGAAACCGCTTTGTCTGAGCCATCTGCAGCACCTGCGCTGCCAATTACTCAGGTAACTTGTTGTGTTTGTGTGTAATATTGTAAATATTTGCTATGTGTAGTATTGTACTTATTTTGTGTGTTGATTAGAAACAGGAAGACTGATTGTACTGAATTTGGACCTCCGAAGTGGCACGCGGCCACGAGGTATTTCTTTTTCTTGCTAAAGCATATATTTATCTTCAAAGAATGCAGTTTTGAAGCTACTGTTTTTCTGTGTGTAGTTTTCACGGCGTTTAATAAACAAGGGAAGCGCCTGTCGTCAGGAAGCCGAGCCAGTGTGGTCATTTCGGAGTTACACAAGATATTTAAACTCTTCTTGAGGGAATCTGAAAAATTCCCATCGTGTTGACAACACATCAGTGAAAGTGATTTTCAGAGCTGTGATATTTTAATCCGATTCTGTCTTTATTTTAGTAACATGTGGACGAGACAAAACTGAAGCAGTGATGACAGACAGTAGCTCTAGCAATCACTGCTTGTTACATCATGTGGAAAATAATAATAAGAAGCCCTTGTTCTACTACACACCTGCACACAGCTGTGTGAAACATATCGAAAATGTGATCAAATGAGAATTCTAGATTAAGTCTCACGACTGAAATCTGGCCTCTCTATGCGGTGTTTTCCTCTGGTATTCTACATTCTTCCCATAGTCTACATAACATGAAAGTTGGTGATTCTAAATTGACCTCAGCGGCGAATGATTACGTACTTTATTTGTCCCTGTGATGGATGAATTGCCAATCTGCTCAGAGTGTCCCCCCTCTTTCACCCCGTGACAGCTGAAATAAGCTTCAGCCCCGGTGCTACCCTTTAAAGGTCATGTAAACACAACTTAAACGTAGGAAGTCAGCAGCAAATGTGGTAAAAGGAGTTGTCTACTACTCCAAGCCATCTGGGTCAGTCAACAACCATGTAGTCCCTTAGTAGAAATGTCCTGGAATATGTAAATGAGCCTAAAGTTACTCCAAATCCTGCTTTCTTAAAAGTTGTTTATTTCTTGATGTGCATGTGAATATGTTGTTTTATATAGTGCAATAAAAATGTCCTTCCTGCACTGGTTCAAGGGGACAAGGACAGAGCTGGCCTTCTTGATGAGCTTGTCTAATCTTTATCTTTCTACCATAAACAAGCTGCTGCCCCAACAAACCGCAACGTAAAAGATGGCTGATGTCGCCACAGAGTCGAAGAAGATCCATAGAAGCACCCTCTGCACTCCAAGGGACCTCAGCGTCCTCAGGAGTTCAAGTCTGCTCTTACCCTTCCTAAAAATAGAAATGGCTCCAGTCTAACTTGCCGTTTAGGTGAACATTAAGGTTCCATTGTCTCAGTGTCTGTTTCCTAGATATTCACTGGTACCAAAGTAGAGGGTCCGGGGCTACGGAAATCCACCTCCAGTCCCCTCCATGTTTTCCCGCTTTGATCAGGGGGTGATTCTGTGCCCCTGTGTGTACGCTGAGTCATCCCCATCTGTGACGAGGCTGGCAACGACAGAGTCATCAGAGAGGGTCTGTAGATGGCAGCCCGGGTAGTTGATGGATCAGTCTGCAGTGTAGAGGGTGAACAAGAACAGTGCCAGCACAGTTCCCTGAGGTGCTTCTGCACTGCAGATCAGCTCATCAGACACACAGCCATGTGATCTAACAAACTGTGGGTGTTCTGTGGGGTAGCTGAGGATGTGACATGTGGTGGTCAACTCCTGCTATCTCCTGCTTGTCCCTAAGAAGTCCAGCACGGATGGTGTTAACGACATTGGAGAAATAAAAATAACATGATCTTCACAGTGCTTCCAGACTTCTCCAGTGGAGTCAGAGCTTGGTGTAGGTAAATGACGGATTGTCCACCCCAACGCAAGGGTTGTGACGAGTAAACCGATGTGACCGGATATTTGGTTCAACAAGTGAGACGTACCAGTGCGTCGGTAGCATTCTCCTCACTCGATAGAAATTATCAATGAATTCCTAGATGAAACGGTTGGAGAGTCATGGATCGGGTCTCGCAAGAATTTGAATTGGATGGTGGCATCACACGTGTGCCAGCATCTCGTAAACAACGCAAGAGCTTAAAGCTGCCCACACACCTTTTTTTAAACTCTTTATTTACAACTTTACAAATGACCTGTATATGATACAGCACCTTCTAGAGTTCTGGGATGCCCCAAGGCACTTTACAACACGATCAGTCATTCACCCATTCACACATACATTCACACGCTGGTGGTGATGAGCTACATTGTAGCCACAGCTGCCCTGGGGCACACTGACAGAGGTGAGTCTGCCGTACACAGGCGCCACCGGTCCCTCCGACCACCACCAGCAGGCAAGGTGGGTTAAGTGTCTTGCTCAAGGACGCAATGACAGCAACAGACTGAGCGGGGCTCGAACCTGCAACCTTCAGATTACAGGGCGAGCACTTAACTCCTGTGCCGCCGTCGCCCAACCAAGCTGCCTGCGAAAGTCTGTAGAGCCGCTCACACATCTGAGTCAGTATGGTCGGGGGAGGATTGCGTCGTTTCGAGATCGTACGGGCGGGTTTTGTTTACTTGCTGTGTGTCTTGTTTACGTTAGCATGCGTGATATGCAAATGGCAACATGGAAAATGGAGGATGTGAAGAACAACAGCATTATCCTTAGCGATGGAGGTGACAATGCACCAAGACAGTTTTTCAATGCATCGGGGAAACAAAAATCCAAAGTTTGGACCGTTTTTGGGTTTTATAAGAAGGGAGTGTGGTGAGTACCTTTAACAGGTTAAAAGGTTTGATTTATTTTATACACATTTATTTATTTCCCATCATTTATTTACATGAAGCACTTGTCACTGTGTCAAGTATTGAGACAAGAACGTGGTTGCTGTTTTGTTCTTCCACTCCGGCTCCCCAGGCCTGAGGCTACATTTTAAAAGGAATGACCTCCATCACTGTAAGGTTATTGGAACTTGGTTTGTTTATAGGTGTGTAATTTGTTTACATTGAAAGTGTTCGAATCACTTGGCTCAGGCTGAAATGTTGCACCTATGTGCTGTTTATCTATGGAGTTCCCATCCAAAGATATAGCCACTTTTTGTTGGTTCATAAAATAAATACACTGACGTGATTTTGTTATGTAGTTATTTGATGTTGTCGTTGTTGCAAGCGCCAGATAGCCTCAATGCTTTGTGATATGTGGTCTTTTACATATTTGAAAAGACAACATTGTCCCTTGGCATCTTTACTTCATCAATTATCTACAAAAATATTAACTGTAGAATCAAATCGTTCTGTTCTCATGGTGCATTCTAATCGAATTGTTTCAAAATGAGTCGTTCTGTAATAAAAGGATATCGCTTTTAAATCGAATCGTAACCTGTGAATCTAGATGCTTATCAAATCGTTTATCACAGAGAGATGTGCAACCTTGCCCAATGCCGGGCTGGTAGGAAAACTGAACTGGATCCAATGAGGAGCTTACCTGAGGGTGAAGATGGTTGACTACCTGTCTCTCAAGGATCTTTATCAGATGTGAGGTCACTCAGTGCTACCTGTGAGGTGAGGTCTTTGGCTACAATACTCACATGCGTTTAGCAACTAAAGACGTTGAAGCTTTGTAGAATCAGCTGACTCTTGTTGAGTCATTTACCTTGAAACTGCAATCGTTAAAACAGTCATTAAATGTGTATAGAAATGATAAACTGGTGTTAGTCTGGACATTGCTGCAGAGCAAAGTGAATGTGAAAAAGGTGTACCTCTCAAAATTCATCCCATTGTGGCGCATGTTTGTCTGCAGTTCATTCATGCCTCAGAAACAACCATGAATCACTGAACATATCACGCACATGGGATGCTCTTATATATAGATCAGTGACTGCATGTTCGAGACATCAGAATGACTACAGAAGTCACACGGCATGTTCACATATACACACATGACTTGCAGAAGGAGGAAGTAACCAGAGCACCAGACAGGAAACCTGTCACGTAATGTAAAAATGGCAGGGATCTATTTTTGATCCGCTGTGGGAACCTGTTTCAGTGAATTGTTGCTGAAGATAACATCATATGTTCATTTACAAAAGCTCTGCTGAAAAATCTGAAATTATAGTCATTTAAAAGCATTTAGCTCCACAAAATCTAAACAAAATGTGATTTGTAACAATTACCATCTAGAACCAGAAGGACAAAACTGTTGCTCATTGTCTGTGTGTGTGTGGGTGGGGTGGGTGGGGGTGGGGGGTTATTATTAGGTGTTTGTAATTTGTACGGTTATGTCACAGAAGTTATTTTAAACAAATGTACTATATTTTTATGTCAAAATAGATGAATCCATTTTAGTTTAAATGTCAAGTGAAACCTATGGTGAATGTGTGGTTTTTAAGGGAAAAAAATGCAGCATTTTTGTTTTTACTGACAGAACCCGACGCTCATCATTGAAGAGGGTTATAATTAATCAATGTGCCATGAACGAGTAGATAAACCCACAAGTACCTTTTCCAACAAAGTCCAGTTTGCACGCTCCTCATTTTTATCATTAAAACATGAGTGTGTTCTGTTCTGCCCACATCCAGACATTCCTCTGTAACCTAATACCTGACATCATCCTCATCTGCTCAAGGACAACCAGATGTAACTTCCTCAAACTCCTCCCCAGACATGGAGTTCCCGTTAAAACTTCCTTAAAATCCTGACGATAAAACCCTGAACTGACCCACTTCAGCAGCACAGGAACTGTCAGCTCTGAGACTCACCTCAAACTCGATTTGGACTTTTCAGCTTAAGGTACGTTTTTATTTTACTGTTGTTGTTTTTTTTGGTCCAAAGTTTTACTTTCGCATTGATCTCATCGTTTTATCTTTACCAGGATTTGTTTTACTGCAGCTGAAGTACAAACTGTACTAACTGATGTGTAACAATGCCGTTCATTTAAGGCACACATAAGACTGACCAGAAAATTTCAACAAAGAATATAACATAAATATCTCCTCCTCCTATATGGAAATAAATTGAACTTACTAAGATAGGAGTTTTTTTGAGTTCTGCTCATAAATGTAAAAAATATATGTGGGAAAAATGCAAAGTAAAGAGATGATGAGAGGAATTCACATGAGTCATCCAGAGACAACACCTACGCTGTAGATTAAAATGCACATTTGTTGGTTAAAACAAAGCTTTCCATCAGCTCACCCCAAGGTGAAGCTGTGCTGTATATATAATCAATGTGTGTAGGAAGCATGCTGCAGAGAGCACAGGGCTTTCTGTTCCCTCAAAACAAAGGAAACTCGTTAGTTTGTGGTGAACTTAGAGAGTTGCTGGTCCTCACTGGGAAATGCACAAATGCAAATAAGAAGCAGGGATTGATGAGTTGCAGATGGCTGATCACAAGTTTTCTGTGTTCTTCTCAGTTAGTCTTCCACGTAAATGGAAACAGACTTCAGTGGTGAGCTGTGTGTTTTAAATCAGTGAGTGGAATGAAGTTTTCCCTCCAGATTCAGCTGACTAAGCATTTTCTCTTTTTTTGTCCAAAGCGACACGTGATCTAAACTCTGAAAATGAAAGCATCATGTGACAAACCACAAAACAGGAAACTTTAGATCAGGGGGTTTGCTGTCATTTAAAAATCACATTTTCCACAGAATTGTTTTAAATTATACAGCTGTGCAGTAGGAGTAATCATTCAACATCAGAGGTTCAAGTTAGACTCTTTTTACGCTTTCAGGATGTTGTCGTTGGTGTGCGTTTTGCTGCTGGCGGTTTCAGCTCGGGGTCATCTGGATGAGGCCTTACTGGACGCCCAGTGGGAACACTGGAAGATGACTCACAGTAAAGAGTACAATGGCCTGGTGAGGATCCCGAAAACAACAGTGTTTGTTGTGTTCTGATCTCATGTCAACTTCGAGGTTATTAGTTGACTTACAACTATAGTTTATGATTTTACATCATCAGCATAAAAACTGATTTTAATCATTTTATTAAATCATTGTTTGTGTTTTGAGGAGTTGCAAATAACTGAATTATGTTACAGAGCCACATAATATACATTATTTTGGGCTTTTCCATTTAATGGAGTTCATATTTCAATGGGACAGTTTGGAAAGTTACATAAAAAGGGAGATGTTGATAAAATTTACATCGTTGTGTGTGTTTAGTGGGAATTCCCCGTCAAATACTGTGTTGTATTCACACACAATTACAGTTAAAGGTGAACACACACACACACACACACACACACACACACACACACACACACACACACACACACACACACACACACACACACACACACACACACACACACACACACACACACACGTGCCATGGTGATATTTTACACTGCTGTGGAAAATAATGTGAAAGCATAAAACAAAAGGAGTAGTTGTTTTGGTTTCTGGAGGGAACAAGCAAGAAAGACGCTAAATAAAACTAGTTCATGATAATTTATAAGTGGATTATAAAATTAATCCACCCATCTGACACCTTTTATCTTAAATTAGGTGTATGTAAATGTCACTTTTTCAGATTTAAAGTAGAATAGCCATATCCAGAATTAGTGATATAATTACCATACCATACCATCTTTATTTATATAGCACTTTAAAAACACAGCCATACGGCCGACCAAAGTGCTGTACAGTCGCAAAATAACAGAGATAAAAACATAAAACAGAGCAATAAAATACAGTCAACAGATAAGAAACAAGCCAATAAAAAAGTTCTGATAAAAACCTTACAATGGATGATAAAATGAGAGTAGTAAAAACCAAAATAACAGCTAACTGTTAAAAGCAAGGGTAAAATAGTGTGTCTTTAGTCTAGACTTAAAAACTGCCAAGGAAGATGCCAGTCGAACTGCGGCTGGAAGTTCGTTGCACATTTTAGGACCGGCAACAGAGAAAGCTCTTTGTCCACATGATTTATAACACGCTTTTGGTACCTCGAGGAGCAACAGGCTAGAGGACCTGAGTGTGCGACCGGGAGTATAAATCGCAAGAAGATCAGATAGGTACACGGGGGCAAGACCATGGAGGGATTTGAAGACAAAAAGCAATATTTTATATTGGACCCTGAAAGTGATGGGCAGCCAATGAAGGGATATTCTTAATTAGCCCATTTACTGGTTTGGTTGTTAATCTGGGTCGTCTCTGCTCAGATCACAAGAGCAGGTGTGAAAAAAATTGTCAACAGAGGAAATTCCCCCATCTGTGACTCCCATTCTGCATTTCTTCCCTTTGTTGCTCTCTGTCTCTTAAAATTCCTAGTCTACATTCATTATTTGTGAAGTTTCTCGCTGTGAGGATGGAGGTAAGTGTAATTTGCTGGTGAAAAAGCAAAAGCTGACTCCAGATTGACCTCCGTGTAGCTTGTCAAGCATCTGTCTTCCCTCCACTTCACCTCAGGCTGGAGGTCAGCGGTCCCCAGCTGTGGAGTGTTTGTGTGTGAAGCTTGTTTGTTTGTCTGCCATCTTAGTTTGTGTGTTTTCATGTTCTACTTGGTTTATGAGCATATAATACTTATACCATAGATTATTATCAGTATTCAAATCCTCAGATTTGGCTCTCTTCAAATTCTCATTATTACTGTAATAAATTAAATGTGCAGCAGTCAATTAGTGTGATTAGTTTAGCTGACGGTATAGCTTAATATTGAGATTATTTTACACTGACATCATCAAACTGCTAAGTATTATTTCTACACCTCTGTGTTTGCAGTACAAAAGGGAGATCTTTGTGTGCATGGTTAAGACAGCCTAATTAACCAAGCCTTTTAAAAATGTGCCAGTTACTCCGATAATTGCTCAGATACATTTCTATTAGCTGTCTGGTTTTTATAAGGTCGGAAGACTTTTGTTCCTACTTCGAATGAAGTGGAATAAAATTTAAATAACATTTGCAAAGGTTGATGAAATTCTAATCAAGATGCACTTTGTTGTGTTTTCTTCATAACGTTCCTAATCAAAAGGGTGAGAAACTGTATGTAGGTCAGTGTTTCTGAGAGCAGCCCAGTCTGCCTGCACAGCCTGCTTTGTTGGTTTTATGGCTTCATGCCTGCAGCTGTGAGCTTTTAAAGTAAATAAGCAACTGCTCAAGCTGGGAAAAAGGGAACGGAAAGCAAATCACTGTGCCACTTTTTGCTGTGTTTGTGCTTAAACAGAACTTTACTGCATAAATAGACAAAATGCATTAAAGGGGACATATTATGACTTTTTCTCCCAAGTTATAATATGTATGTGTTTGACATAAAACCTGTTCATTAAGTCTTTTGCACTAAATCACTCTCACATTAAGCATTTTCAGCTGTTTTATTCTTGATGTTTTCAGTACCTTCCAGAATAAGCCGTTTCAGGGCTCTGTCACTTTAAGAAAAACAAGCTGGAGCTAACCACGCCCACTTATTCCCCAATTAAGCTGCTATTAGCTAAGAAGCTGGAGGAACTTTGAGTAGAGCTGCTGCTATTCGCAGCTCTCTCTTGAATTTGAGAGGTGGTTCTATTCTATTTTCTCCGTTTGTGACATCACAAACAGGGACATTTTGAAACAGGTTTTTGAGGCATTTGATTCCTACAACCAAACACTGACAGAAAACAATTGGATAGTATTATTCACGTTTTGACTGTTTATAGGGACCAACATTGCAGCACAAAGTGAGTTCTGCATAGTGTGTCCCCTTTAAACCCTGAAACTGAGAATTTAGTTTATTTAAAGAAATTTTGATGCATTTAGAAAATGTTAAAGATTTGAGAGTCTGTCTCAAGCTCTAGAAGTTGAGTCACTTTGTTTTAGAAATGAAAAAAGTTGGGTTGAGCTGAGTTTGTTTGTGTCAGGATGAAGAGGGGATCCGCAAGGCCATCTGGGAGAAGAATATGCGAATGGTTGAAGCTCACAACCAGGAGGCGGCACTGGGTATGCACTCCTACGAGCTAGGGATGAACCACCTGGGAGATATGGTGAGTCTGAGGCTGTGTGCTTAACTCTCCTTCTACATGATATTCCAGTGTTTAAATTCATATAATCAAATGCTGTATTTGATTATTTTATCACAAGTGTTGAATTGGAAAATAAAAGATGTTTTTGTTTCCTCCCTCTCTTAACTTGCCCTGTGTTGCATTTCATTGTTTGTATTTTGTATTCAGGTCATTAAAAAAACCCAAGAAAAAAATTATGTTTTTCCATTTTGTGAAAGAGCAAGTTTACTGAGAAACCTTTTTTTTTTACTTGTTATTTTAGGAATTTGATTGGGCACTCTGAGTTTAACATGCAGGCTGAACAAGAAAATGACTTTCTGCAATAGCTGCCAAAAGAAAATAGACAGGGAAACGTTGGGGTCAGAAAATGCCACACAGATCTACATCGCACTATAAATTAACTTTCATGGATTCACCCATCTTGGCTCAAGGCATGGAAAGTTGTTGTTGGTTTAGCCTCCAGGAGAGAGTAGAGCATGCTTCAGCTAGTAGAAGCTAACTGTTAGCATTAGCAACTCCACAACACAACATTACTCCTTTAGGCTTATGCTATTTGTGAAGATAAAACATAAATATTGCAAACCAACTGAAGGCAGTAAAAGAGTTGCATTTCTGTTAGCCAATCAGAGACGAGATATCAAACCATTATGAATACTAATGAGTGAGACTCCAAATCCTGTTGTTTTCTGTTTCCCTCTTCTCTGGCTAACTTACATGTCCTGAAACAGAGGTGCCAGAGCTTTTTCACCACAGAGAACAAATAAAAAAGCATTAATTTATACTAGACAGAAGATTTTTTTTAAGCGTGACTGAGAGCTTTACAGAAAATAATCATCTCCACCAGGTATCTCTAAAGGGCTCTTATGTTCTAAAATGCCCCACAAGATCCCTTTGGCCATCATACATGACCTAAAACAGTCCACACTTTAAAGAAGCTGAAGCTCGACTGCATTATTATTTTTTTTTTTTTACTTTTTTACTAGCAGGACATTTAGGCTATGGGTTCAGTCTTTTGATTAGTTGTCTGTGCATCAGTAATGCACAGCTCTGAAGTGTTGTAAATCAGTGAAAAACAATCTTTGTGAGGTGTAGCGTACCTGAGATTTGATGCACTCATTAGCGACAGAACATGTGTACACATCTGAGCACCAGATTAATGGCCAGTTCATATCTATAGGAACAGGTGGCTGTAAATGAAGGATGTCTTTTCATTTTCTTTGTACAAGAGACACTTAAATGAGAGAAATCAACAGATGGTCTGGTTTAAGTCCTTCCTTCTGCTTTTAGACAGAGCAGTGCTGAAAGCCCTGCAGAATTCTAATAAGACTAAATGGAATATTTTGTAGAAAAGACTGCCAAATACAACAAAGCATGCTGTTTCCTAGGACAGCCAAACTCCCGGGTTTAAATCCCCAGACTCCTCTTCTCATCGGTCTTCTTTAAGGCTCTTATTTTATGTCTTCTTGTAGCTATAGAGCGCTAGCATGCCTTTTCCTTTGTTCCCTTTCAACATTTCTGCTTTGAAAAATGACATTTCATGGTGGAGTAGTGGATGCCAGAGCCACCTCTTCATAAATTCCTTGTCATCCTTTGTCACCTTGCAGAAAGAATCCCTCCCTCTCCAACATTTTTTTCACGACCTTGTCACCAGCCTAAAAGACATCCTTTTTACACATCTTTCAGTTTTGTCTAAAAAACAAGAAACCATCTGTAATCTGGGCGACACAACACAATAATTAGCTCTTCTCCCTAGAAACTGTTGCTCCTACCCTTTAATTACTTGGATGTGGATCATCTGCAACACGTTCTGAATGAGAAACCTGAGCAATCGTGTCTGTGTTTGTGCAGACTTCAGAGGAAGTGATGGAGAAGATGACTGGTTTACTCGTGCCGATGAATCGTGAGCAGAGCTTCACCATGACTCTGAATGAGTCCGTCTCCAAGCTTCCCAAATCCATCGACTACCGCAGAAAAGGCATGGTGTCCTCTGTCAAGAACCAGGTAGGAATTCATAATAAAATATGTATTGGAGCATTAAGACAAAGTCACATAATCGACAATGATTTGGCCGTACTTTGTTGTACTATTTTTAGTTTGTTTTTATGATGTGACTGTCTTATGCTTTGTGGGTTTTTTATTTTTTATTTTTATTATGTGCAGCGCTTTGGTTGGCTGTAGTGCCATGTTAAAGGTGCTTTATAAATAAAAGTGGGATGGGTATTTATTTCCCTTAAAGGAGTGCTTTCCAACTTTTCATATTTATAACCCTCCCACTGTCCTAATGGGTGTGACCCCGCGAGGAAAGTTGACCATTGAGCAGGGTTGATGGTTTATCCCTTGGGTTCGCGTGGCAGGGGTGAGGAGTGAGCACCACCTCACACCTGCCACATGGACCTCAATGGATAAACCATCAATCCTGCTCAACGGTCAACTTTCCTCGAGGGGTCACCCATGAAGACAGTGGGAGGGTTATTTTCTTGAGCCAGTATGTGCTAAAATGACCCATGTCGCTCAGAGCCCCACCGGCCTCTGTGACCAAAATGCTGCATTTGCAACTTCAGAATGACTGACCACTCTGTTGGACTTTTTTATTTTTAATGGAGCTGACATGCCTGGTGCTGCAGTCTGGTTTTAGCAAGTTTCCTGCGTGATTTAAATTGTGAAAACAGCTGATTTGTTTGATTTAGTTATGAATCACTTCTGTAGACACTAATGAAGGCTGGGGAGACATTTCAGCAGGTCGATTAAGGTGTTAAAGGACTAAAGCACAAAGAAGAGATACGTTTTTCTTTTGGTTTTACTAAACGGACACTAAGGAGTGCTAAAAGCAAGCCACAACTGCCTATTCTCCCTTTAAACCTAACCAACTTGATATGCAAACTGAGGGTTAGTGCTTTAAACAGTTGAAGTATAGAAATTGCTGCTGCAGCGTGCATGCAGAGAAAACACTTTTCATTGGGTTGTAGGGAAATTTATTACAAAGTAAAATACAACAGCACATGAATGAGATAATAGGCACATGTGGCACTTCAATGGAAAAAGAGGTACTCAGAAAATAGAAAACAGTTTGTTAGATAGATTATTCTAAATCAGAATTATGGAGTGCCACAAGGGTCGGTCCTTGGACCAAAACTGTTTATAACTATAAAGATCCCTCTAACTCTTTATTTATCAAACATAAAGTAATGATATTTCAATTGAATGGTAAATGGCCTGTATTTGATATAGCGCCTTCTAGAGTCCTGGAACCCCCCAAGGCGCTTTACAACACAATCAGTCATTCACCCATTCACACACATTCACACATTGGTGGGGATGAGCTACAATGTAGCCACAGCTGCCCTGGGCAAACTGACAGAGGCGAGGCTGCCGAGCACAGGCGCCACCGGTCCCTCCGACCACCACCAGCAGGCAATGTGGGTTAAGTGTCTTGCCCAAGAACACAACGACAGCGACAGACTGAGCGGGTCTCGGACCTGCGACCTTCCGACTAAGAGGTGAGCACTTAACTCTTGTGCCACCGTCGCCCCGAAGAAACTGAAGAAGAAACTGATGTCTAAAATCTAAATTAGGAACCAAAATGAAAAAAATTGAGTTTTTATTGTCTAAAGTATAAAAATTATGGAACAACCTGAACAAAGAAATAAAACATTCAGTATCACTCAGCATCCATCCATCCATCCATTGTCTGAACCCGCTTGTCCACGTAGGGTCACGGGGAGGCTGGTGCCTATCTCCAGCGGTCAATGGCCAATCAGGCGGGGTACACCCTGGACAGAGAGCCAGTCCATTGCAGGGCAACACAGAGACACACAGGACAAACAATCATACACACACACACACTCAAACCTAAGAACAATTTAAACAGACCAATTAACCTCACAGTCATGTTTTTGGACTGTGGGAGGGAGCCGGAGTACGCGCGAACGTGCAAACTCCATGCAGAAAGATCCCAGGCCAGGAAGCGAACCCAAGACCTTCTTGCTGCAAGGCAACAGCTCTAACCACTGCGCAGCCCGTCACTCAGTATATAAAAACATTTTTAAATCTTGTTTTTTAAGTAAAAATGTCATCTCAGACATAGTGTCTGTGTTTAATTTAGAAAATCTAACCATGAAGGACAGTTTAATTAGGTTTGTAATGAGAACTATTTTATTTAGTGATAAATTTTTTCTGCTCTTTTTTACTGAGATATTTTGCATTGATATGTAAATTCTTCTTAGTTTTTCATTTTGAATAATAAAATAAAATTTAAATTCAAATTGAGTCCAATATAAATCAATAGCAGAGGTCATTCACTCAAGAAATAAATGACCCTCCATTTTTTTCCAGTCATGACTTTAGAAATTAATCAAGAATTGGGAAAAATGTATTTTGTTAATTAATTTAATAGCCAGAGTTGGTTTTAGCAGATTAGAAATGTCCAAGAACCATAAATCTATATAAGAGTTGGACAGTTTAATTAAAAACATTCAAAAACATCTTTCAGGAAGCTGGAGTGACCTCAGGAGAAAAGCAGCCGGTCCAATTCTAAATGAGATTCAGAGTGTGTGGTGGAAACGTTCCCTTTAGAATCATAAAAACAAGAGGAAGAAGGAAATTCAGAGCTGCTCTTCCAGCTTTGACCTTTCTGTGCTTCATAAATGTTGTGTGAGACAAACCACCAGTAAGAGTGGAATCATTCTGCAGGAAAAAGCCTGTCCTCCCTGTTATGAGAGTCTGTTATTATTTAATATAATTAGTCATCAAGAGTGGATTGAACGGTCTGGCATTGTTTATGTAAACAATTGTTCAGCAGAACAGGAAGCTGGCTTCATAAATGGAAATGTGGCTTAGACCTGAGACCTCTGCAGACAAATTAACAGCAGAATAATGTCATGTTACCTAATGACAGACAGTGAGAGATGTTGATTATGTGTCTGTTTATTTTTATAGTTATCTCATTTCTGTAGGACCAATCAGAACTTTTATATTGTTAATTTTGACCTCCTCACTAAAGAATTAAAGGTGCATTATGTAGGGATTAAGTTAAAAGGGCATCCTGTGGTCAAATGTGAGTTTTATGCCTGATGTCAGTTATGGAGAAGCACCAGAATATTCGAGATAACTAGCAAAGACAAGTCATGGACAGCAAGTTGATAAGTAGATAAATACATTGTCATATCTGGTGCTTGCACTCTTAGGTGTTTGAAGGTAGGGAGCACTTAGTACACTTATTACGGTAAAATACCTCCAGCATAGAGGAAGTATGGCTGTTTACCTTATTGTTGTTAGCTTGCTGTTATAGTTCTGAACGACTCATTAAAGGAAGTAAAACACCACAGTTGGCTCATTATTCACTTCACACAAACATCCCACTGTAATATTGAGTTGTTGGTCATTGAAAAGGTAGCTATATATATGTTCATCGTGTCTATTTGCTTCTAATTTACCATTAGCATTGATAGATCAAAGTTAGTCTCTAGCCTGCTTCACTCAACATTACGGGGGAAAAAATGCTGTGACTTCTTAGGGGTACAAGAAATAACTTTTGAGTCGCTCTTGTTACTTGCTTTGGATTACAACGCTGGAGCGTTTAACTAACTGTAGCTAAATTCCAAATGCCGGCGTGGCAGCATTAGCTCGCAGGAGACACGACAACCTTCACACTCAATGATGATGGGCACCAGACCCCCCCCCCCCCCCCCCCCCCGCGCGCGCCACCCTTCGTGGACAGAGCGGGTTCAGACAATGGATGGATGACCTTCCTTCCAAGGTGACCGAGACATTTTGGGATTATTTCACTGTAGAATTTTTACTTTATTCTTACACACTGCACCTTTAAAATGATAGCTTTACAATAAATGGTTTTGCCTCACAAACTTCGTTATTGTTGTGTTTTGCATGTTTATTAGAAGGATCAAGTATGATTTAGATCTATATTTTCTTGTAAGAAAGAAACCATTTGTGTAGTTGGCTTTGTCCCCCCCTGGTGGAGACATATAACCTGTAGCAGCATCCCCACAATCAGCTGATTTGCTCCCTGTTATTCATGAATTATGCAACACATGGCTGCTCTCTCTGCATACCAACAAGCTTCATCTACAGCCACATTTATGTTCTTCAATTACGTTTTGATGTTTTATTTGATCCAGGAAATTTTGAATATTATGAAAGCTCAAAGCCTTCATTGGCACTCGACTGACGTGATTAGTCAAATCATTTAATCAGATCAGCTGCATGTTAGAGGCTTCTCTCTGTGAATAAGAGTTGCAGCTGTAATTTACTCACACCCAGGTGGAAGTCGATGATCTAAAGCTTTAATATGTTTTGTGGTGAAAGTCAGAAACACAGCTCTGTTCTTTTGGGAATTTTTGGAATAACTGATTTTAAGCTGTCATTTTTATATGAAAATGACAAAATATGTTTTTATTTGTTGTAAATTGAAATCCATAAGTCAGCTGTTAGATAAATAAAATGTAGTGTTTGCAGGATTTCAACCAGCAGAAAGCTCTCTTAATGCTAGTGAAAGTCTGCCCCCTAGTGTTCATTTAGGAGAATGTAATAGTTTTTTTTTTCTTAAAACTTTAAAGTCAGTAAAAACTAAAAGAAGTTTTGGATTCATTTTCAGATTTTTGCTCCACAGCTTCTTTAGTAATTTAAACATTGTTCTTGCTTAGCTTTTCTGATCCTTATGCAGATTATTTTTCAAACCTTAATTTTACACATTTTTCTTACTGGTATTATCATCCAACAGGGTTCTTGTGGCTCCTGCTGGGCCTTCAGTTCTGCTGGAGCTCTTGAGGGCCAACTGGCTAAGAAGACAGGTCAACTCGTTGACCTCAGTCCCCAGAACCTGGTGGACTGCGTCAAGGAGAACGACGGCTGTGGAGGAGGATACATGACCAATGCCTTCAATTATGTGAAAGACAATGGAGGCATTGACTCTGAAGAAGCCTACCCATATGTCGGAGAGGTATGGAGCTAGAACATCATGCAGCTTATACTTACTGGGATATTAAACACTATTATAAAGTAAACTATTCCTAAGAACTTAGTAATTTTCATGTAAATTTTATGATGTAAATGGTGTAAATTTAGGACTGGCAGCTGCAGCCTTTGACACTGTTGACCATCACCTGCTACTGGAGAGGCTGACAGACTGGGTAGGCCAATCAGGAACTTCTCTGGTGTGGCTCTCCACTTATCTTTCTGAGCGTTTCATCTCTGTGGCCGCCTCCAAGTTTCAGTCCTCCACCACTTCCCTCATGGTGTCCCACAAGGTTCTTTGCTGGGGCCTCTACTCTTCCTCTTCTATCTGCTTCCGCTCAACACATTTTGAGCTCTTTTAAACAAATCTCTTACCATCTTTACGCAGATGACATCCATTTGTACATCTCCTTTAAGCCCCACGAGATGTCTAAGCTGCAGCTGCTACACATCTGGATGGCTGGGAGCTTTCTACAGCTGAATGAAGATTAGACTGACATCCTCATCTGTGCCCCAGACAAACTGGTTCCCAAAGTCAGAGACTCTCTTGGTCAGCTTGCTACTCACACCAAACCCTCTGTCAGGAATCTTGGTGTGACCTTTGACCCAGCTCTCACCCTGGATTCTCATGTCAGTTCTGTTGTTTGCTCTTCCTTCTTCCATCTCAGGAACATTGCTAAGCTGAGTCCCATTCTGTCCCGCTCTGAACTTGAGACTGTTATTCACACTGTCATCTCCTCACGCTTAGACTACTGTAACTCTCTTTTCACGTGTCTGAGCAAAACCTCCCTGAACCGTCTACAGGTGGCTCAGAATGCCTGTGCTCGGCTTCTGACCAAGTCCTCCAAACACACCCACATCACCCCGCTTCTCCTCCAGCTTCACTGGCTGCCAGCCAGCTTCAAGGTTCATTTCAAGATCCTGGTTCTGGTCTATAGGACCTTACATGGACAAGCACCATCTTACATTGGTGATTTTCTCAGTCCCTACACCCCCAGCAGGTCCCTGAGGTCCAGTGACCAAAGCCTACCGGTTGTGCAGTGCACCAGGCTAAAAACCAAAGGTGACAGATCATTTGCTGCTGTGGCCCCCAGACTCTGGACCTCTCTCCCCCTGAGCCTGAGATCAGTGGACTCAGTGGTCTCCTTTAAACTCACCTGTTCAAGCTGGCATTTGCGTGCCCTTCATACCCTCTCCTTATTCTGTTCTTTCAGCTCCACCTTTCCTGGGATCCACTGATTTCCATCTTTTATATTCATTTTTTCTCTCCCTTTCCTACATTTTTTGTTCACAAAATTTTTGTTTATTTTTTTCCTCATTTTAACCATATTTTTAAATCTTTTTTTATATTGAACTTTTTGTTCTTGTGAAGCACCTCTTACTTTTCATCATGAGGCACTATAATATTGTTTTCTTTCTTTCTTTCTTTCTTTCTTTCTTTCTTTCTTTCTTTCTTTCTTTCTTTCTTTCTTTCTTTCTTTCTTTCTTTCTTTGTTATTATGTGAAGGGGCCTATTAGAAATAAAAATGTATGTATTTGGTAGGCACTTAAAAGGACTCAAAACATTTTTAAATATACTGATTTTAGCTTCTTTTCACTCCCACTCCAGCTGCCTAACAGCACCCGCCTGGCTCACTAAAAAACATCATGTGTGAAACTGTACAACGCCAAATAATGAGAACTCAACTTTGTGGAGTTTGTGAACTTAGTTTGGATGTTTTAGCAATTCCCAGGGGAAGAAAAGTTCTGAGTCTAACAGGAATCACTGGTCATAACGAAACCAGAGGAAGCCAGTTCTTCTCTCACTTGTCACGATAGCATCTTTATTCACTACATTTGTTTGAACGAGTAGGTGAAAAGGAAAGTAAACAGTTCCTGTTTAAGCGTAAAGCTGCTGAAACGGTTGACCAAGTAACGTGTTTCAGAGGTAGAAACTGTGTTGCAAAGCAAACATTGTTTCCTCATGAGTCACTTAAAGGGAAGTAGAAGAAAGCAGAGTCATGGGGTCGGGTTCAGGAGATGGGACGTTGGAAGCCTTGACAATCAGTTTCAAGACTGAGGGACGAAAAATGAACAATTTATTATTAATCTGCTTTATAAAAACTGATTAGAGTTCATGTAAAATTGTGTCACATATTTTTGTTTTGTTAACCTGAAGTACTTGTTCCGTGTGTCTTTATTTGGTAAAATTATCTCATATTCATTGCAATTATTTTGACAAAAAATATTTGGTTTACATTTGTGCTAGAAACAAATTTCATTGTTAATTAAAAAAAACATGGTGTCAAATGTGATTTGCCAAAAGGAAACATTGTTGTGACATAGGGTTGGGTGATATGGCCTAAAATCAATATCACGAGATATTGAGGATTTCACCTCGATAACGATAAATGGATGATATATCTACAGGCATGCGCAGAAGCAAAAGTTGTCCACTAGATGGGGCTGTCACACGTATTAAAGGGATACGAACACTGCCAACCTACACACATCTTTTCATTTTTTTAATTATCAAATTTATTGACATGAGGAAAATTATCTCTATAAGAGTCGGAAATTTCGATTACGAAAAATTTTTGATTTATTGCCCAGCCCTACTGTGACACTAACCATCCACCCTCAACTGTAGAATTTTATTATGCTTGTATGGTTGTGTAGGAACAGCTATGCCGCTACAATTCATCAGGCATGGCAGCCCAGTGCAAAGGCTACGTTGAGGTGCCGAAAGGCAGCGAGCACGCCTTGGCCATGGCGCTCTTCAAAGCTGGTCCAGTGTCGGTGGGCATCGACGCAACGCAGCCCAGCTTCCAGTTATATAGGAAAGGTGAGCAAACCGCTGACAGGTTGTCTGATCCTGCTTTGGGGCTGAAATTCTGTCATCTGAAAATGTTTCATGTTTTTCCTTAAACACAAATTTGTTTTATTCATTCCTACTCAACTTGAATGTGAGGTAATTTAATAACCCTGAGTATTTGGACATCCCTAAACCATGGCTGGGTTAATGATAACTTGGCCTTGCGAGCCATCCTATACATGTAAATATATAGTCTGGCCACGACCCTCAGTCGCAGGGGCGGGATCTACGGTTGTCTGTCAAACTGTCTCTGGATACTATTGGACAGTGTTAGCACCAATCAGAGCAACATAAAGCATTCATACCAATGAAAATCAGCCAGTGATGCAGTCCACCACCATTAAAGAAAAGTCCTAGTCTAAACTGTCCAAACTTGATGCTAAAGTCATTTCAAATGAGTGCTGTTCTTGAGTTCCCACCATTGCTGTTGTTTTGCTGGATTGCAGCTCTGTCGTCATTGTAAAAAATAAAAAAGGCTCAGGGCAAACTTTTGCTATAGCTGTGGTTGGTCTAGATTTCTAGGTTAGAAAAACATAAATCCAGAGTTTTGTCTCTGAGGCACCATCTAGAGGCAGAAAAACGTATCGCACCTTAAACCCTTCTCCCTGCTTCCGTGATTACGGCTGGAAGCAACGCCTACTGTTCACAAATGTGCGCCTCTGGCCAGTGTTAATTTTGTTGATAAAATATTTTTGTTTTGTTTTTTCATGACAAATGAATTTTTGCTAATGAACACAAAACAACTGTAGTGTTTTCAACAGGAATGTTGGTGACACCGAGTTAAACCACAAATGAAGACCCTGGAGTTTAGCTGCAGCTTGTTTAATTGTCTCATGAACATGTGGTGAAAACTGAAATGACAGAAAATAGACTCCATCTTAACAGATAGAAGCATGTTTACATCCAAAAAGTGCATTACTCTCACTGAAACATTCATGTTAGCAAAATATACACTAATATCCAAAGCTATTAGTATAAACTGTCATATAAAGCAACTTACGGCGTTCCAGCCTGATAATTCAGAGAAGATGGCATCTGATTACATCTCCACGCTGCCTTCTGCATGAAGCGCCTGTTTCTCTGCGAAAACAGTGTTTGACCAAAACCGGAAGTGCACCGCCAGAACAGGAAGTACATTTTAGCGATATTTTCTTTTTAACTAAAACACATATAAAGCATGAATTATTCATTTTAACAACACATATCAATGTTTTTAATGACAAATCCTTTTAGAATTATTTATTTCAAACTTATGAACCTATTTATTCAGAGAAAGCCTTAAGGGCAACACACTCCCCGCCTGGCCTCGGGAGGCCACTATGCTAAACAAACATTATGCATTCAGTCCTTTGGCATGAGGAGGATAACTTCTGTAACCGGTCACATAAATGTCTTTATGCACCCTTGATCGCATGTCTTCACTTCAATTTTCCTTACTCGATTGTCCTTGCTTGGGAATGTGGCAGAGACCCTGGCCATGGGCCAGTTGTTTCGCGCAGCCTGCTTATCCTTTAACAGAACCAGGTCGTCAACTTGGAGGTTTCTGCACAACCCAGTCCATTTCTGCCTTTGCTGCAATGTGGGTAGATACTCTCGTCTCCAGCGTGTCCAGAACTGATTGGAAAGGGCTTGGACCCTTCTCCATTGTTTGTTGTAAAGGTCTTTATCCGAAAAGTCTCCAGGTGGGGGTGGGAGGCAAGATTTTGCGTAAGGAGCATTGAAGGGGATAGGATGAAAGGGTTCTCTGGATCAGAGGACACTGGGACGAGCGGCCTTGCATTTATTATGGCTGCAACATCAGCCATAAGTGTGCACAACACGCCATGAGTCAGTTGAACCTTGTTTTGTAGTAGCATGGAGTCCAGGATTCTGCGGGCGACTCCAATCATGCGCTCCCAAGAACCTCCCATGTGGGATGCATGCGGTGGATTAAACCCCCAACTGCAGCCTTGGACAGTTAGGTACTGTTGGAGTGATTTGTCCATTCCAAGTTCCTTTGAAGTGCTAATAAAATTGGTGCCACGGTCAGATAGCAGCTGTTTGGCGGGGCCTCTTAGAGCGAAGAAGAGGCGGAGGGCATTTACACAGCTGGACGTGTCCAGAGATTCGATTACCTCAATATGCACGGCTCTCGAACTCATGCAGCTAAACATGATGGCCCACCGCTTACTTTCAGCTACTCCACCCCTAGTACGCCTGGTTGTTATGGACCACGGTCCGAACACGTCAAGGCCGACGTAGGTGAAAGGAGGACAGGTTTTTAGGCGTTCAGGTGGTAGATCCGCCATGAGTTGTTGTTCTTGTTTTCCACGTAGTTTGCGGCAGATTACACATTTGTGGATCACTGAATTGATTAGTTTTTTGCAGCCTAAAAGCCACAGCCCTGCGGCTCTGATTGCTCCTTCCGTCAGATGACGACCTTGGTGCTTTGTGAGCTCGTGGTAATGGCGAGTGATCAGAAGGGAGATGTGACTGCCTTTGGGAAGAATCACTGGGCTCTTCTCAGCTCTCTCAATTTCCGCATGTTTGAGACGGCCTCCAACAGAAATGAGACTGTCCTGTAACAATGGGCTGAGCTTCTTGAGGGGACTCTGTTTCGAGATTGGCTTGCCAGCATCAAGGGCAGAAAGTTCCTTCTCAAAGTATGCCTTCTGTGTCTCTTTGAAGACAACAATCTTTGCTTGAGCGACCTCCTCTGGGGTTTAAGGCAGATGACATTTGTGCCAGCCTTTGCATTTTTTGTTTGGATTAGTCCCATTGAAGGACTTTGCAATGTGGATGAGATTTGCTATGACTCTGACTAAAGATCTAAAGGTAGAAAAGTGCTCAAAACGCTTACAGATGAATGCTTGGAGGTGAGTGGCATAAGTTTTTACTTCTGGTCATATTTCTGAGTCTTTATCTGGTTCAATCAGGTCAAACGTTCCACTCAGTTGTGTTATCTCTTTGGCAGGATGGTAGATGAAGGGTGGGCCGGTGAACCAGGTGGACCTTTTTAGTTGGAATGCTGACAATGACCTAGACGCATGGTCTGCTGGATTTTCCTCTGTGCGCACATAATGCCACTGTGCTGGCTTTGATGACTGGCGAATGCGCTGCACTCTGTTGTGGACGTATGTGTAAAACCTTTTTGACTCATTACAGATGTAGCCGAGCACTACCTTACTGTCCGTGTAGAAGTGCACTGCATCAAAGTCCAAGTCCAACTCATCTTGAATGAGGTCAGCCATTTCTGCTGCCAAGACAGCTGCGCATAGTTCAAGTCTTGGTATTGTAGGTTCTGACAAGGGGGCTAGTTTTGCTTTGCCCATTATGAACCCAACCTCAACCCTCCCATCTGTTTGAATTGCCTTTAAGTAGGCTACAGCTCCTATGGCCTTAGTAGATGCATCTGAGAATAAACACAGTTCCTTGTGCTCTGCTTGACTTAGTGAGGTGGAGGTGTAGGTTCTGGGAACATGTAGTCCTCTTAGATCCTGAAGGGAATTTCTCCACATTTCCCATCTGTTTTGTTTGTCCTCTGGAAGGGGTTCATCCCAATCCGAACATTCTGAAGTAAGCTCTCTCAGTAGGGCCCTTCCTTGGATTGTAACGGGTGCCAATAGGCCCAGGGGATCGAAGACGCTATTGACAGAGGACAATACGCCACGGCGAGTGAATGGCTTGTTTGCGGTGGCCACTGAGTAAGTGAATGTGTCTTTTGTTATTTCCCAGATGAGTCCAAGGCTTCGCTGGGATTGTGTCTCTTCACCACTTAAATCTAAGTTTGTGATGACAGGGGCACAATCTTCTGGGCAGAAGGCCTGCATAACTGCCTGAGAGTTGGAAACGAACTTATGCAGGCAAAGGTTGGATTCAGCGAGTGAGGCTTGTGTTCTTTGAAGCAAGTCTATAGCCTCAGCAGGGGAGGGGACAGAGATCAGGCCGTCATCTACATAAAAGTGTCTCTCCACGAACTTTACTGTATCTGCACCATAGTCTTTTGAACCTGCTCTGATGGCCTTGCGTAGTCCATAAATGGCAACAGCGGGGGATGTTGAGTTGCCAAACACGTGGACCTTCATCCGGTACTCGACAACTTCTTTGTTTAGGTCATTGTCCCTGTGCCACAGAAAACGGAGGAAGTTGCGGTGGTCTTCCCGTACCCTAAAACAGTGAAACATTTGCTGTATATCTGCCATGATTGCAACACCCTCTCTCCGGAAGCGGAGAAGAACTCCGACAAGGGTGTTGTTTAAATCAGGGCCAGTAAGGAGGACATTGTTAAGTGAGGCACCCAAGTACTGGGCACTAGAATTGAAGACAACCCTGATCTGATTCGGTTTTTGTGGGTGGTAGACTCCAAATGTTGGGAGATACCAACACTCTTCTCCCTTTTTCAGTGGGGGGGCCACCTCAGCGTGGCCATTGGAGAGGATTTTTTCCATGAAGGCCACATAATGCTCCCGCATTTCAGGTTTCCTGTTAAGGGTGCGTTTTAAGGAGGAGAACCTTGTGGCCGCCTGCTGTCTGTTATTTGGTCATTGCTGGCGGGGTTCCTTAAATGGGAGTGGGGCGACCGAACTGTTGTCCACGTCTCTGTGCATAGCATTGTCCATTATTTTCAGAAAGAGGGTGTCCTTTATTGAGTGAGCTGGTTTGTTGTCGTTATCTGTCTGGTTAAAAACCGTTTGACCCAGAGTTTGTTCGGGCGCGTTACCCGGCCTGTTTGTGTGTGGCGTTTCTTTGAGTTGCAGGAGGCTGTTACATGGTTTGAAAACTGTAGGGCGGCCATTTTCCAGAATGACTGTCTTCAGGGTGCTGACTGTAGGCCTATGAACATTTCCCAGACAGACCTCTCCAACTACAACCCACCCTAGATCTAGGCGCTGGGCGAAGGGTGCATTATGGGGGCCGTTAATTCTCTGCCTGGCCTTGTGTGCCTGTAAAACATCTCGCCCTAGTAGCAGGAGTATCTCGGCTTTAGGGTCTAGCTCTGGGATGTACTTTGCGATGGTTCGGAGGTGCGGCTGGTGTAGCACTGTGCTGGGAGTTGGGATTTCGCTCCTATTGTTAGGAATGTCCTGACACTCTATGAGCGATGGTAGAGGGATAACTACTGACCTATCCAGTGACTCGATATGGAAACCTTCGGCTATTTTACCCCATGTTTCTACAACACCAGAGCATGTTCTAAGATTGTAGGAGAAAGGTTCGCTTTTAATGTCAAAAAGGTCGAAGAACTCAGGCTTGGCTAAAGAACGGTTGCTCTGATCATCTAATATTACATATGCCTTAACAGCTCTGTCCTTGTAACCTTCAGGGTACACCCATGCGAGACATATCTTGGAACATGAACGTCCCCACTGTCCTGGACCGCACACGTCTGTGCAGCTTGTTGTGACATCAACCGTGTCGTGACTGTTTTCTCTCTCCCCGCCATTCTCTTGTGCCGGAGGTGGAGCCTTGTTGGTCTGTGGTGGAGGACCAGGATGCATGGCTGCGTCGTGACTCGTGCTGTCACATTCAGAACACTTTATTGAAGATTTGCATTCCTTCGCAAGATGAGTGTCTGAAGAACAGCATCTGAAGCAAATTCCTTTTTCCTTGAGGAAGGACTTTCTTTCGTCCAGTGGTTTATTCCTAAATGTTCTGCATCTTTTGAGCGGGTGTGGCTTGTTATGCAGTGGGCAGTTCTGGTTAATGTCCTTGTTAGGGGGAGAAATATTGGTTTTGTGTACCGTAATTGGTTTGCTGGAATTGAAGTTTTTTGCAAAAGGTTTTTCTGGTTTTAAGTTTTGCTGGTGAAAACTTGGATCATTGCATTAGCCTCTTTACATATGAATTCACAGAAGTACTCAAAGGGTGGGAAACAGCCTTGGTTGTTCTCTTTATATTGAGAGCCGTGTGACATCCACCTCTCCTGAAGTCCATACGGGAGTTTGTCTACGATCGGGCTTATTCCACGAGAAGTGTCCAGATAGAGTAGACCAGGCAGATGGCCGTCTTCCTTGGCGCCTTGAATCTCTTGCAGTAAATCCCCTAGTTCAGGTAGCTTGACATGATCTTTGGCTGTTAATTTTGGGAAACTGTCCAACCGTTGGAAAAGTGACCTTTCGATTATTTCTGATGCTGCATAACATTCATTCAGTCTTTCCCATGCTTTGTATAGAGCTACTGTGGGGTTGTTGACATATACTGAACGTATGCGTTTCACCTGATCACTTGACTCCCTCCCTAACCACTTCGTCATGAGATCTAGCTCTTGAATGGGGGTGAGTTGGACCTCAGCTGTTGCACTGGTAAACGAAAAGCGCCATGCTCTGTAATTCTCTGGCCTGTCGTCGAACTGGTAAAGGCCTGAGATTATTAAATCTCGACGTGCCATGTATTGAGCAAAGGGCTCTGCTGGATTTAAAATGCTGGCCGCGGTGTTACAGTTATGCTGAGGTATAAATGGTGAGCCGCATGGGTTGAGAGAGGTATTTTGTTTCTCCACTTTAGGTTTTGTTTCACCTTTCAGCTGGCTGGGGTAATTTAGAGCAGCGATATTAGCTTTGGTAAGCCTCATTTCAGAGTTGATGGGTTGTGGCTCTAAATTGCCTTCTTCAGATGGATGCCACGTTACAAATGTGTTGGGTGAACTTGCTCTGGGACAAGCAGTGGTTGGTAATTGTCGTGGACTGGGAGATAGCTTGGTGTCCATTTGAGATCGTACATATTCATTCGTACGTTCTAATTTTACACTTTCTGATGGAGATTTTCTACTCTCAGGTTCTTCTTGTATTGCTTCAGCTTCCTCTAGCACTTCTGCTTCAGCTAGAGCAGCATCAGCTTCCCTCTGTAATGTTAACACTTCTAATTCCACATCTATTTTTGCCTTTTCCAGTTCGCTTTGAGCTTTTTCAACTTTTAACTGTGCTTCTTTTGTTGCGTAGCATGCTCTCACCTTCGCAGCCTCTGCTTTAGCTCGAGCCTGGGCAGCGCTTACTGCTGATCCAGATGAGCGGCTCGTCCTCAAACTGCGTGCAGACTTGTTACTCGATGCCATTTTGACCGTGATGAATCATCAGTAGTCGCCTTTTCACTGTAGTGTTTTCAACAGGAATGTTGGTGACACCGAGTTAAACCACAAATGAAGACCCTGGAGTTTAGCTGCAGCTTGTTTAATTGTCTCATGAACATGTGGTGAAAACTGAAATGACAGAAAATAGACTCCATCTTAACAGATAGAAGCATGTTTACATCCAAAAAGTGCATTACTCTCACTGAAACATTCATGTTAGCAAAATATACACTAATATCCAAAGCTATTAGTATAAACTGTCATATAAAGCAACTTACGGCGTTCCAGCCTGATAATTCAGAGAAGATGGCATCTGATTACATCTCCACGCTGCCTTCTGCACAGTGTTGCCAGATCCAAAATCCCACAATATCGTACAGAGAGGCTTAAATTATCGTTTTTCAGTACAAATTATCGTACATTATAAATTTGATAATAACGTTCTATAAACAACTTCTCACTCCAATATAATATAACAAAGAAGGTGTTTTATATTGCCCTGTTTAAATAAACATCTTTAAAACCAGTAATATAATGCTTATAAACGTGCAGAGTGTGTCAGCACCACTCCGACCTCCACGCATTGACACAATATGCACATTTGCGCAGTCCTATTTATTTCATTTCTACATAGGTTTTTCTTTTAAGATTAGAAGCCATTGTCTCGTTGCTCTGTCATCCTAGATTAGACTTAACTCGGCGTGCTCACGGGCAAACAGCAAAAACTGGCGGGACACTGCCACATTATATAACCTTACAGTTTCTCACGAGAGTAGGCCCTATCGATGTGATTGGGCTATTTATAGTACAGACCCAGAGTCAGTTTTTGTAATAGACACAATAGCATAAACCTGTAAGCACTGAGGCGAAATCTGACTTCAGAACAGTTTAAAATTATGTAACTGACTTGGGAAAGCTACAGCAAAAGACGGTGTTACTAGTTGCAATGTGAAATTATCGTACATTTGAGGATTTTTTAAACTATTGATCGTACATTGTACAGAGCCCAAAATTATGGTACAAATACGATAATTATCATACATCTGGCAACACTGCTTCTGCATGAAGCGCCTGTTTCTCCGCGAAAACAGTGTTTGACCAAAACCGGAAGTGCACCGCCAGAACAGGAAGCACATTTTAGCGATATTTTCTTTTTAACTAAAACACATATAAAGCATGAATTATTCATTTTAACAACACATATCAATGTTTTTAATGACAAATCCTTTTAGAATTATTTATTTCAAACTTATGAACCTATTTATTCAGAGAAAGCCTTAAGGGCAACACAACAACATTTAAATGATCACTTCTAATTAAACTAAATAATGACGAATAAAAGACAACAACAAAAATTGACAGAAACGAAAATCCTATCGTTAAAACAGTAATGATGGTAGAATGTAGACAAAAAGAAACAATCACCGTATGGAAAGACGAGACTAGATGAGCTGGCCATGTTTGAACAAGCTTCCGCTACCAGTTATACATCTTAAAGGACAAAATGTCCACAGCTTGGTTTTAAACGTGTTACGGGGGTAGCAGCGAGCAGGGGCGGGAGAGGAGCTTAACCAAACTGGTGGTTTTAACATTTTCATGGCATTAGTACAGCCAATGATATCAGCGTCTGGTGATCTAGTGGTGTTTCTGTGAAGAAGAAAAAACATTCAGGTGGTCCAGAAAATTGTTCAGGCAGCCCACCTGCCTGGGAAAACTCTGATAAACACACAATCTTTACCTTTAGTTTACCTCCTCACATTATTAGAGTAACACATATTAGTGTTTTAATGGTTTGATGTCATTTCATGTAAGGTTTACAAATATTACTGCACATTATACAGATTTGTTTAATTTATTAATATTGGGAGACACAATTTCTAATTGTCAGTGTTCACTTTGGTATTTAGCAATAATTATGGTCACTTAGACAACTAGATGTATAGTTTTATTGATGCAAAATGTGAAATGTGAATTTTTCTTTACAGTTTAAAGTAGTTAAGACTTCCTTTACAGAAAATTGTTGCATCAGATGACAAATACATACATTTTAGTCAAATAAAATAAGACTAAAATGAAACACATTGGACGACTAAATTGTGACAAAATTTTAAAACTATTTAAAACTAAATTCTAATTTCTTGTCAAAGTTGGCATTCCCTCTAACCGGGCAACGGAGCTAAAACATTAATTTTTTAATAGCAAAATTAATTAAATAAATTAACATAAGACATTTTGCTTCCATTATAGCACAGTGCAGGGTACGACTAGGTTTTAATGATTTCTTAAAACTTGTATACATAACTCCTGAAAAGGGGAAGACTCCAGATTGCAGGTTTGATATGACCATCTTTAGATGTTGAAATTGTCAACACAGCGTAGATAATATCTCCTTCCTCTATGGATTGTTTCACATCTCAAGTTTACATATTTGTACTTTCTCTGTCGTGTGACCAGGCATTTATTACGACACCAACTGTAACAAGGAGGACATCAATCACGCCGTGCTGGCCGTTGGCTTTGGTGTGAGCCCCAAGGGGAAGAAGTACTGGATCGTCAAGAACAGGTGGGGCGTCACGGAAAATAAATAGTTAATTTCAAGTGTCGATTTGAGTCCAGGTGACGTTCAGCCTCTCTTTTGTTTTCATCCCGACAGCTGGGGTGAAGAGTGGGGCAACAACGGCTACATCTTGATGGCACGCAACCGTGGCAACCTCTGTGGCATCGCTAACCTGGCCAGCTACCCCATCATGTGATCAGATGAGTGTGGCGGAAGTGGAGACTTAGACTACTACGCACCACAATGATGAAACAACCATCAGTATTTTCTGCAACATCAACTTAAAAACATAATCTGGGTTTTTGTACATCTGGAGATCGATGCTGGTTTATGTTGATGATGTTTTTTTTTTGTCCAACACCGTAACATTAACACTTTTAATAAAGTAATTTACAGTTTCAGTTAAAGCATGTTGAGTAAAAACAGGCAAAACAAAACGTAATCGATAAAATATGAGAACCATTGCTGGACAATGGAAGTTCCATCGTTCCTGTGGTTAGAACATATGTTCCTTAAAAATGTCACTTTGATTCTGCAGGTCATGTGTTGTTATTTTTCTAATGTTTCAGCACTTTTTAAACAATTAAGTGTTTATGGTGTTTATGTGAAATTGAATAAAGTTTTCGTTTTGAAGGTGAAAGCATTGTTGGATTTATTAATTATAATGATTTCTACTGTTGATTGTGGTTGCTAAAATATTATAACATAAAAAAATTTTCATTAACTTAATGATAGATAGAAAACCATTCTATCAGACATAAAACATATACACCGTTTCGATAAGCAAGCAGATTTTGTCTGCTAGAGACAATGAAATCCCCTTTATAATTCTCTTTTAAAATAAAATTTTGCTCACTAAGTTGCCGCTGTAAAAAAAAAGCATACAATTAAATTTTGCATGACATGGTGCAAAAGCAGGATTAATGAAGCTTAGCAGAGAAACAAAAGAAACTGTAAGCAACAAAAGGCAGCAGAAATGCCAAAAATGTTCCTGGTTTTGTTGGAACCATCAGAACTTCCAGGTGACATTTAAGACCTTCAAGGGGTGCGTGTCCCTGTGTCATTTGGCCTTTTTCAGAAACCAACCCAGTACTTGACCTGGGGTATGTACTTGGGATGGCCCGGTTGAGTCGCTGGGCAGGGCTTGGTTAACTCATGCTGATTAGTTTAAACTCAGTGGTAAATAATATAAACAGATGTTGCCAAACAGATGGTAGTTTTAAAACTGGATGAGATTCTGGTGAAGCAGAATGGAAGGAAAAGCCTATCAGCAGTGTTCATGCTGATTTAGATTTACCGTTCTAATCTTCTAAACACTGAAAAATGCAGCAGAAATCCTCCAATAATACCATAATTCACAACGCGCTTTGTAGCGTTCAACAGAGCCCAGCTCTTCTTCCAGTCATGGAACGCTTCATTTTACATCACACATCCACTCTCCTGATCCCCTAAATGATTAAACGTTAGGTGTACTTTGACAGAATTAAACAGTTTTAATGTTATAAATTTCCATGGACACCTTTTGGCACTGATCAGTGACATCATTCGCTTAAAAAACGGTCACGACACGTCGACGTCCTAGCAAAGTCCTGAAAGGGCTGATTCTGTTTGGGACACAACAGCTGATTGGACCGAGTCATTGTATTTCCCGGTCACTTGTCCACTTCCCAAAAATTTCCCAGAACTCCTATAGTAGAAATCCGGTTATAGAGCCTGACAGCTGCTTTTGAGGAAGGACATATAATAAAATCCCTTCATGCTCCTGGGATGCAGCAGTCTGTCCCTGAGGCGCAACAGCTTCATGCATGTTGGAGACATCTCACAAAATCATGTTCAACATAAAACATAACTGAATTGTATGACTTTTATCATTTGTCTGCTTTGTTTTGAGGATCTAGATGATAAAAGCAAATAATATCATAGTCATTTTATCCCAGCTTTGTAAAACCCATAGCTGTCAGCACATGTGTGTAACATGAGGTTCAGCCCTGTTGAGGACTCGCTTGCACATTCTCCCCGTGTTCATCTTGTAACTGACCTTCAGAAAACTCTGCAAACTCTTGACCTTTCAGACTGAACTTTTAACGGGTCAAACGTTTATCTTGACCTTGGTCCGGATCCTCTTGCAGCCATAGAGCCACACTTACTGGAGGGGGGATCCTCAGAGCATTTGTAGAGACCTTTTTGACCTTTGCTTGGTGCCAGAAAATTTTGCTTTTTCATTGTGAAAATGGCAAACAAAAAAAAATTATCATAAAACAGAGAAATTATTATCTAAAAGCAAAAATAAAAGTTTACCTATTAATGCCATATTTGCAAAAAAAAAATCCTCCTGAGGTTCTTGGACATTGATCTCTAAACCAGGATTAGTACTCCTTGAACTGGGGCTCCATTCTGTGCAAGTGGCCTGCCTCTTTGTGGAATATTTAAGCACTGCAAGGATAAGTGCGAATTTTATTTTGGTTAAACTGTAAGATAAAATATTGTTTTAATATTGTATGTTTGCCTACAAAACGTTTTCACAAATTGTATGACTGTTTTATTGATATGAATAGATTTTTAAAACTTATTTTCCCCGATTGTTATTTCATGTACCTGTATTTAAAGGGTTACATTTTACAATGTGAACTTAAAGAAGAACATAATAATTAAGTTTTTTTTTATTTTTGTATTTTGTTGCTTTTATTTGGGACAGCCAGGCTCATGGTAATATAAAGTTGTAATAATGATGTAAAATATAATTAATATTAAGGCAACATTAATGTAGGTTCATATTCCATGTTTTGTTTATACATCTCTGTAACTTTTACATTTTAAGTTAGTTCGCTGTTTGTTTTCAGCTGTAGGGATTACATTTGTTTGACAATCAGAACTTTTGTTTTAATCCAGCTCTCCCCTTATCAGTTTTATGGAAACCTATTTATGCCAGACAAAAGAAAGAAAATGGTATGTCATATTTATGAGTTTAAAAATGATTATTTTGAAATTGAAAGTCAACATTATGAGTTTAAAAATTATTGTGAGATTTATAGGCATACTAAGCCACTTTTTCATATTTTTAAATCATTTTCTTGAGCCAGTACGTGCTAAAATGACTCTTACAGGGTTAATGAAAAGTCTCTCAAACCCCACCACCCCCAGTGGCCAGAATACCGCACTTGCAACTTCAGAGTGCCTGTCTGGTCCCTGTTGGATTTAATGAAGTGGCGCTGACATGCCTGGCACTAAAGTCTGCTTCAAGCACATTTCCTGCATGTTTTAGATACATACCTGATTTGTTTGCTTCAGTGATTATCTGCTCATGTAGACACTAATGAAAGCTGAGCAGACATTTCAGCTGTTAGATTAAGATGCTAAAAAGACGAACGCACAGCAAAGAGATACGTTTCACTTTTTGGTTTCACTAACGGACAAGGGGAGCGAAAAGCAAGAAAAAAACTGCAACATATCCCTGTAAAGCCATTAACCCTCTGATGCATGAATTATGAGATTTTCAACCATGATTTTTAAACAATTTTTTTCATCCATCTTTAGGTGTGAATGAAACAAATTTCAACAAATATTTTTTGTAACATTTTGTTAATTTACAAATAAGTTATTGCATGTCCATCTCAGTTGACAATATGCATTCTGAACATGAAATATGGTGGCTTGACTTACTGAAGTCCAAATGGAGGGGCTCAGATGCAATAAAGTCTTCAACAGCTGTGCTTAATAGCAAAAATAATGTAATAACAATTTTGAGTACCTGTCCACTGCAGTGACCATTATGCATCAAAGGGTTAATATGAGTTTCAAGCTCAGATTGATTGAATACAAACACAAAAGTCTGACACTGAAAGTCACTTGTATAAGATAAAAGTCATTATTATGAAATACAAACTGATAATTATACCTTTGTGTCTCATAATGACTTTTAAACTCATAATAATGAGATTGTATCTCCTTTAAACTCACAATAATCACTATGACTCTTAAAAAAATTACCCTGAAACTCATAATTATGACATGTTGTAAGACATTTTTTCGTTGATGTGGCAGGAATGGGCTTCCACAGACTGCTCTTGTAAAGCTGATTTTCAATTTTTGCCCAGACATCTTTTTGCTCTCCCCAGTGGTGAATTATCACAAGTTTTCTGCTTCAAAAGAGTAGAACTACGACAGACCACGTGACCTTTTTCTTGATTAAAACACCAAGCAGGAAGACTTTGAGAGGAAGTGCTGCCGCAGCAGCAGCGATGAGTTCGACACAAACAGGTGAGCAAATCAATATTTAAACCTCTTTCATCAACTCATCCTGTTATTAATGTGGTTTATTTATAAATACATAGGGTAGTCCACACTGAGGTCTTTTAAAATTTACTTTTACTTTCGTTTCTTTGTTTTTGCGTCGCTTCTTTTGTGTTCACTCACGTTTTAGTTTAACCACAAAAATGAAAGAGTGGTCACTAAATAAACCTGAGTTTATGTTTAGCGTTAATAACCACTTCAAACCTGCATTTATTATTGAGATTGTTTTTTGTCAAACGTGTTTTTATTTTTTTACACAAAGCACACGATTATGAAACATTCAAAATAAAAACATGAAAAAAACGATATATTTGTGTTACAGCGATCAGATTAATGAAATCAATGTGTAAATCGTAAATTTTTATTTGTTTGAATATGGTTTAATGTCTGCATTCTTAAATTTTAACTAAATTTAAATAACTTTTTCAATATTTTAGATTTCATCCTGCTGGTTCTAACAGTTCAAATGTTTAGCAAATGTTGCCATTCAGAAAACACTAAAACTCTATTATACTACATTGTATTCTATGGATCCACCCTATTAGAACGTGTTACATGGCCTGACTGGTCTCATCTGAAGGACACTTTGCACTTCCCTTAGTTTCATATCTGGTCACAAGATGAAGTTTTGCTTATTTGTGGTTTTTTGTACAGTTTCAAGAGGAATACAATTAAAGAAGTGTTACTTGCTGACACCAAGATGGGTTAACAATCAAACAGTGATGAGTCAGCTAAATAAAAAGATGTGATTAACTTTAATTATAACAAAGAGGAGTATTGGAACGTAGAACACATGTTCACCAATATCTTTTCACAATAATTCTAATACTGATTATTTTTACGTTACATCAGCTTTTCCCCATAAATGCATGACAAAATAAATGTGCCTGTTAGTACATGATCTTTGTATCTGCTCAGCATTTTTCATATATCTGATTGGCTCTAAACTTTACTAAATGTTTTCTAACAACTTCACGGTTAACCGAATGCTTTAAATATCCATTAATACAGGATGTGCTGCCTGAGGAAGCTGCTCTCCAGTCCAGGAATGATTTGCCTAAATCAAGCCCTTTTCAAAAGTTCCAATTGTGACATCACACACACACACACACACACACACACACACACACACACACACACACACACACACACACACACACACACACACACACGCACACACACACACACACACACAGGTGGGAGTAACAGCCGCTTTATTCAGATGGGTGCCAAAACCCGTGCACGCGTATTCCGAGAGGGAGCAAACTGTGTCTGTGAGTGCAGAAGGATGTGCACAAGTGACAAACCTGCGTGCGCACGTTGGCCAATGAGCACATGGCAGAGGAAAGCATGCACGCAGCAGCCTCACTGTGCACTCGGGTTCTGATTCTGCTTGCTCAGCTGTTGGGGGTTTTGGCACTCTGGAGGCGTGGCCTGTGGCTGATCTTTTTTGTCCTCTGGTTGGTACGTTTTTTTTTTTTGCTCCTTACCTTATGTGTATTCCGCGTGCACGGGTTTTGGCACCCATCTGACCCCATACCCTTATGCCTGAGCATCTTAGCTTATAACAGCCAATTAGGGGTTGTGTGGGCATTGCCTTCACCAGCTTTTTTCACTTAAAGTGACAGAGCTCTAAAATGGCTCATTCTTGAAGGTACTGAAAATGTCAAAAATTCTTTATCTGAGAGGGGTTTTTGCAAAGAATCTTCGTAAACATGTTTTAGCAATAATCAAGCTGTTTCTGGCTACTCCCACTCATCATTTGATTGGCTGCTATAGAAGGTGAGGAGCTCAGATATCAGAATAGGGGTCAGAGTAGAGCTGCTGTTCCTCTAGCCGGGAAAGATGAGATTTTCTATTCTAATTTCCCCGTTAGTGACATCACAAATGGGGACTGTTTGAAATGGCTCGTTTTAGGCACATATGTCATACAACAAAACATTGACAGAAAACTGATGGACGTTTTATTTCACATTTAGAGTGCTTATAGAGGTAATAGACACTCACATGGGGAGTTTTGCATAATACATCCCTGTTAATATATTTTTGCATTTCCATTTAAATGAATACAATAAAATGACCACAGACTTTATGTCTGTAACACAATAACAAATTAAGACAGAGAAAATGAACCACAACCCTGTAGGAAGTTCTCTAAAGACTTTTATTCCAGAAAGCTTCATCACCATGTCCACTTATGTCTCAGATGTTCAGATTTTGTCAAATATTTGAATTAGGGAACATTTTGAGTGTCTGAGATGCAGCATTTTGGCTTTAATGTCATGACAAGTTTAACAAGTCAGTACAAACAGAAAGTGCACAGGTAGACCCCAAATCCTGTTCTGCACTGTAAAAAAATACGTAGATTTTAATGTAAAAAAAAGCCCTCAGCTGGGGTTACCGGAATGGTACTGTAAAATTACTGGCAAAACTTTTTTCTTTTACGGTAAGAAGGTATTTTTATTGTTGTTTTTACAGCTAAAAATAGTACTGAAGTCTGTATTTTGCTATAGAAAAAATGTTTTACTGGGGAAAACATTGTTTTACCTTAAAATGAACATAACATTTGTGCCACTAAAAACAAAATTTTTCACACTAAAATCAAAAATCAAAAGGTTTTCCTTATTGCATACACTAAATTTATAGAATAAAAAAACAATTAACTGGTTCATAACCAGTTATAATAGCTTTGCCTGCTTAATAGCTGTCCATCTTTTTCAACTGCATTTGTGTGTAATTAATAATAATAATAATAATAATAACAATAATAAATCAAACTTGTATAGCGCTTTTTAAGACACTCGAAGATTATTCCATGCACTCTCACATTCACACACTGCCAGCTACTACGTAGCCATAGCTGCCCTGGGGCGGTCTGACAGAGGCAAGGCTGCCATTAGGCGTCGTCAGGCCCTCTGACCACCACCAATACAAGGCAAGTTGGGTGAAGTGTCTTGCCCACGGACACAACAGCAGAATACCCCTGACCTATGACTATGACTATGACTGATCATGAGGCAACCTGCTCTACCTCCTGAGCTACTGCTGCCCCCAAAATTGTAGCAGTCGAGAGCGTTGAGTCAGTAATGACGTCAGTATTGAACAGACACTTCCCTCCGACTAACGGTTCAGCCAGATCTCACCTAAATGCCGCTAAGCACACTGGGTAACAGGAAGTAAATTCCTTACACCATTGCCAGTAATTAAAGGCTGTATTTTTTCCATCAAATAAATGTAAAAATCCTAGTGTTTTACAATTATAAATTTTAGGGTAATTTTCCGTTAAAAAACTACGCAAGAGTGCGTTACAGTAGGATTATTTATTTTTTATAAAGAAAAATTTACAAATTAACTTTTTTCACCAATACATTTATTTTTGACAGATTTGACATGTTCTGTCATTGTTTTAGAGTTTATCACTGTTAGACATATGGCTTATTTTTACAGTGTGACTGTTTCTTTTATTCCCTCCCAACTCAACACGTTTCATTTAACAGCCGGGGAACAAATAAAAGTTGATTCTTTGTATTTGCAGATAAAAACTCCAGAAAGTAAATATAGATTGTAATTCAGTGAATTTAAACAGAAATTACATTTCTATGTATTATTCCCTAGCAATTCTCTTCATGGAGATCCTGAAAGCGCTGATGGTGACTAATGTTTTCTCCTTTTGCACACAGAAACGAGTGCTTGAGAAGACTGTTTCATATTTTCTACCAACTGTTTCTTAACAGGAAGTTCAGACCTACATTTAAAAGTCACTTCCTCCTTTTTCAGTTTGACAAATTCCTTTCTGCTCAGAAAATACATTAAAATCATTAATTTGTATTGTGGCTAAGTCAGAACAACAGCAGATGCTCTGATTGTGAGTTTATTGATAAAAAGAACCATGTGCCTGTCTTCGACTTGTGGTTAGATCTCCGTCAGACAGATTGTTATTTCTGCCTCGTCAAAGGTCACGTGACATCCTGTGTTCTTTGTGTGTTTACAGGCCTGATGTTGGCAAGCCTGCTGCTCATCACCCTGTGTGAGGGGATGGCGGCCATGTTTGACAGCAGGTTTGACAACCACTGGGAGCTGTGGAAAGGAACACACAGTAAGGTGTACCAGAGTCAGGTGTGTGATTAAAGAACAGTAAATAAGGAAGACTTTTCTGCAGCAAATCCATTAACTTCCCCTTTGTGTTTAGGAGGAGGACATTTTCCGCCGGGTTCTGTGGGAGAAGAACCTGATGCTCATCACTAAACACAACCTGGAGGCCTCGATGGGGCTTCACACCTACGATCTGAGCATGAACTTCATGGGAGACCTGGTGAGATTTTCTCCTGGTTTTCATTTATTATTTATAGAATAAATAATTAAGATCTATAGTGTTATTGATACTAAAGGCTTTACATGGTGGCTGGATCAACAATAACTCATTAAAACAAGAAGTCCTAATCTTTATGACCAGGTCAGCTGTTGGCAATAAAAGGAGTAAAAGGAAAGGTTGTTTAGGGTTTAAAACAATCAAGTAATCTTAAAAATTGTTCAGCTTTAAAAGGCCAAGACCGCAGAGAAACTATTTTAACTTTTTATTTTTGAAATACAATCTCTGAGTTTAAAATGCAGGCTAAAAGATTTATTTCCTGCGTTAGCCACCGATAGAAAATAGACAGAGCAACACTCGGGTCAGTAAAAGTCACACTGACCTACGTCACACTGTAACTTAACATTCATGGTCTCAGCCATCTTGACTCGCAACGAGGAAGGCTGTTTTGGTTTAGCGTCCAGGAGACAGCAGAGCATGTCTCGGCTAGTAGAAGCTAACCGTTAGCATTAGCACCTCCACAACACGGCAGAACTCCTCCAGGCTTGTGTTATTTGTGGAGATAAAACATCAGCGTTGCAGAGCAAATGGAGGCAGTGGAAGAGTTGCATTGCTGTTAGCCAATCAGAAGTGAGATGTCAGAATATCACAACACTTGAGTAACCCTGGTTTCACACTGAAAGCATCGGCGGCAGCGTAACACCACTCATTCAAATAGAATCCATTACAGTCTATGGAGTGTTTCAAACAAGCAGCGATGCGGCAATATCCAGGCGCGTCCAGGAGCTTTCCGTAGCTAACATATGGCTAGACAGGAAATGACACACGGTTTCAGTGTAAAATCACTGGTAAATTTCAAAATTAAAATACGGCATATATGTGAAAAGTACTTTCATATATATGAAGCTTACACGTGACCCAACGGCTTATTTACTAACAGCATCGTTCCAGAAGTGCATGTGATTTCCTTCTTTTTGGTTTTAATGGCGGATTGCATAAACAAACCTGGGACCTGAAGTCTCGAGGGATCATGTGATCTCGCAAGTCCAGCAAAGAGCACAGCGAGGAAGTCGCCAAGACTCTCCTGGTGTGAAAAGGACTGCTTTGAAGTCCACGAGTAAACCGCTTCGCGCCACTGATGCTTCCAGTGTGAAACCAGCGTTAGACTCCAAATCCTGACGTTTTCTGGTCCGACTAACTTCTAGTTCAAGAAACAGGAGCACCAGAGCTTTTGTTCCCACAGAGAACAAATCACAAGACCTTCATTCATACTACAGACCACTGCAAATGTATAAAAAAAAACAAGTGAGCGAGAGCTTTAAGGTCAGGTCAAATGCAGGTGTGGTGAACACACCTTGAAAGTTAGTACATTCATAGATAATTTTCTCCTTAAGTAATCTATTAAGTAGCTGAAGTTTCACAGGTTAAGCTGAATAATTCATAAAATATAGATAAAATATTGAAGCGTGACTTTTCTTTCACTCTGTGCTGAATGTAAATTAGAAAGTTTTGCTGCTGAAGGCTCAGTTTTTTTACCATTTCTCCTCCTGAGAAGCTGCTGTTTCTTCGCTGTGGCCTTTGAGACATCTGTCGGATAATGAGATGAGTTTTGCTCGCAGCCCAACCAGGCTTTAAACACGGTTTGCAGCCAAAGTCTGCAGCGTGCTCTGTCTCAGTGAAGGACTAAAAACGCCTTCATCTCTTTACCAAGCAAAGAGCACTTTGTTGGTTCTTCAACACAACCAATTCCTGAAAACTTAAAAAATTCTTATTATTAACAAATTACACTAAGCGTCCTCCTTTTTCAGACAGAAGAGGAGATTCTGCAGTTTTTTGCCACGCTCACTCCTCCCACCAACCTCCAGAGGGCGCCATCTCCCTTCGCTGGAGCCACGGGTGCTAAAGTGCCAGACACAGTGGACTGGAGAGAGAAGGACTGTGTCACTAAAGTCAAAATGCAGGTAAAAATACCTTGAATGAAGAGGAACACAAACTCAAAGTGGCAGCTTTACAATCAGTGACTTGTTTAAATAAACGAAGAAGAGAAAAGACTAAATGTGTTTCTGCAGGAACGACTCGTCTCATTCAGAAATGTCATCATTCCTGATCTCATTTCCTAAAAGCATCCTGTTCTTTGTTCCTCTTGAACAGGAAGTCAAAGACTTTGCAATTTTGCAAGTTTCTTTTTATTATTTGTAGGTTCTTTAAGTGTTGTCAGAACATTTCCACACCTGATTTAGTTCTTCAAACTTCCTATCTGATGGATATTTACTGTTTTGATGCCAAGATCTAAATAAAACACAATCATTGGATGTTTTGGACGTGATTCCAGATGAAATGAAACGGATGTTTTTGTGCATCAACAGTTAAGTTTCTATAAATTACCTGTTTGACTAAATTACAATGGCTGCATTGAAGGTTTGGGGGTTAGAGCAATGTTACACCAAGAAGGTTTCCCGTTTGAGCTTCTGTGCTTGCAGGTGCACGTGCACATATTAAATCATTCTTTCCACTATTTCTGTCAGCTGTAACGTGAATGTAAACGTTGTCTTTTAAATCCAGGGCTCCTGCGGCTCCTGCTGGGCTTTCAGTGCTGCGGGTGCTCTCGAGGGTCAGCTGGCCAGAAAGACAGGAAAGCTGGTGGACCTCAGTCCCCAGAATCTTGTGGACTGCTCAACGAAGTACGGCAACCACGGCTGCAACGGTGGATTCATGCATCACGCCTTCGAATACGTCATCAAAAATCCTGGCATTGACTCCGATGCTTCATACCCATACAAGGGAGTTGTGAGTAAAACTAAAGAAATAATGGTTTAAATAAAACTACTTAGGTGTGAGGCATTCATTCAGCTATTTTGAAACATTTACACCAGTAAACCTTTAAGTTTTTTGCTCAAAGTAGAAAAAAACGTAAGAATCCAGAATGGAAACCGGTTTGTGGCTGTGTGAGACAACAGTGTGGGTGTACCAACAGCAGGACGAAGTGAAGTCAGACCCTTCGGGCTGTAGACAGCAACACTTTTCACTTGTCTGCGGTCTCCTGTTAATGTCTCTTTGGAGCAGCAATAAATTAATCGAAGTGGACAACATATTTGTCCTCCAGGCTTCAGCTGGTTTGCTGTTGTTGGCGTGGAGGAGGCGGGCAGCTCTGATCCAGTCTCGCTCACAAGTTACTGTTGGCGTTTAAAACATTAATGCAAAAACTTTATCTGTTCAGATGCAGGAACCAAAAACAGTGACACTTGCATGGCATGTTGGGGAAAAAAGCAGAAAATGTTTCAGAATATTGAAATATTTACAAATCTACAATTTGGTTGATCGAAAGAAGGAACATCTGCAGCATCTGGAGCCATCTGCACATTTCTATGTCTGAATAAGCTACTGTGTGCATTTCTAAAAGAATTTCTCTAAAATGTGATGATTAATGTCAAAGGTGTAGCAAACATCTTTGTTTTGTTTACAGTGTTCACTTCTTTGCCCATTAGAGCTTTAGCTTTCTTCTTTATCTCCAGGATGGTCAGTGCCTCTACAACCCAGCATACAGAGCAGCCAACTGCTCCAGCTACAGCTTTCTGCCTGAGGGGGATGAGTCAGCCCTGAAGGAGGCGGTTGCCAACATCGGACCCATTTCTGTGGCCATTGATGCCAGGCAGCCCAGATTTGCTTTCTACAGGAGTGGTGAGTTACACTTCGACAGCCCGACCAGCTGTCTTCCAGCTGCTGTTGACATCAGCCAACAACTGGGTCATAACAGTGAATTTTAATTAGGGCTGCACGATATTAGGAAAACCTGCGATATTCGATAACAGTGCTTAGTATTGCGATATCAATATTACTCACGATAAATGAACAAATACTAAAGTATGCGGTGTTGATGTCGTCTGGCATGTGACGTCTGCTCTGGGTTCAAAGCAAACAAAAACTAATGCATGAATTCCATTACAACATAACATTTTTATTGCAAAAACATGCAGCTGCACCTGCTATTGTATTAGCAGCAAAACAACAAACTGCATGCATGCAGTTTCTCAGTGACTTTAAAACATCACCTCCACCATAAAACTTTTTCTGATGCTCCAAATACAGAAAAACATCCCGTACCAGGGTTTTTGAATAAATAAAAAAAATCAGAAAATAAGTTTAAATGTTAAATCATAGTTAACATCACTTAAATGCAACAGCAAATTCTCTCATTGCTACTGAACATTTTCTCCACTTATGTGGTTATGATATAAGGTTGTTGCTGCTATTGGGAAGTGATCTGTGCTGGGCCAAACTAGGAGAATATTAAGATTTTCTGAGGGAAAGAGAAAAACAATTGTCTACCTTTCAGAAGAGGAACTGGCAAAAAAAAACTACATGGAAAATATATGAAAACGTTTGTTTTTAACCCCAAATTGAACAAGTTTACCTAGATCTTAAAAAGCAGCTCAGATGATGAAACTGCAACTATGATTCTGATGACAAGCTAACAAATTGAACTAGCTCCTCTAAGATAACCGGCTAGCAGAGCTTCTGACTGACAGCTTATGTGCAGCAGCAAATCAGATTAACAATGTTATAAAAGCTCATAAATGAAAAATCACTTTGATGTGTGGGGGAACTTTTCCAGGCCCTCTTTAGCAGGGTGGGACTGGGAGGAGAGTGCTGTAGCCTTTTAGCAACGGTGGGTTGGTTCACCGGCACGTGTCGGAGTCAGCCCGGTTATTATCAGCTGCTTGACGACACAGAGCGGACTCACGTTCACGTTTGAAAGCAGCGCTGATTCCAGAAACCTCAGCACAAAGTGCGTTCGTTAATCTGAGCCAGGCCAGCATGACGAACAAGAGAATGGCGCCGCTAACTCAGTTCGGGTGTTGCGTTCCACCCATCCTATGGGTCTACGTAGGGGGCGGGTGTATTACCTGAACGGACCCATCTGATTGGCCGCATATCAGAAGGGCTACATTTGATTGGTCAAATTATACTTCCGCGTAAAAAACAAAGCTGGTTTAAAAAAAGTTGATGTATGACATGGATGGAAATGTTTGAACCAAACATTTATCGCCGTTTTTGACGTGCTTTGCGATGGGCCTATCGCACGTCCTGTTATCGCGATGATGATAATTTTTCGATATATTGTGCAGCCCTACTTTTAATGATATTAAAGGTGCAGTCAGGTGTATTTATTTTTTCTGGAGCATTTTTGCTATAATGCTTGAAATCCTCTTCACCTACTAACCAACAAATTAAATGTTTCGTCAAAAAAGAAAAGAATAATTTTGATTACCTCTAAATGCATAATCCTGGAAAAACGTACTCCAATCATTGTGAATGACACATTCTTACGCCTTCTTCGCACTGACTGCGGAACAAAGCGGTCGGGTTTCTGTACGGCTTCCAGACAGACTGCCATTCACACAGAATGCACTCTGTGTGCTGTCTGTTTCCACAGCTAGGAACATATTGAGGAAATGGAAGACCACAGGCACAGTTCAAGTTTAGGCTCCAAGTGGCAGACCAAGAAAAATCTCAAATGAACATGATAGATGATCACGATCTTGTGATCTGCTGGGTTATTTTCAGATTTCCCCCCTTTAATCATTTTTCTTGTGTTGCTTATATGCTTCTTTCCTTTGTTTCATCTCGATCTTTTCCTTATTGTGAAACTATTTTTTGCTTTTCCTGATGATGCACTACTGCTGGAAACTGAATTTCCCCAGAGGAACCTTTCTGGGGGGATTATTGATGTTCTATCTGAATTTGAATCAGAATTTTAGATGAAATCAAGTTTTTAGACGGGAATGAACGTAAGATTGTTGCAGAATGTCACAACATCTTGTCTATTTGAGCTAATCTGTCATAGTTGAAAAGCATATTTGCTAAATGTTTGATTTATTCACCTTTATGTCTTTTCAGGAGTTTACAACGACCCGTCCTGCACCCAGAAAGTGAACCATGGAGTGTTGGCTGTAGGCTACGGTGCTCTGAACGGACAAAATTATTGGCTGGTGAAGAACAGGTAGGCATCTTCTCTGCCCTGTTTGCTACCAGCTCAGTGGCCTAGTGGTTTGAGAGTCCACCCTGGGACTGAGAGATCAGGATTCAAATCCCGGTTGGGTTATACCAAAGACTTTAACAAAATGGGACCCGATGCCTCCTCGCTTGACACTCAGCTTTAAGAGGTTGGATTGGGGGGTTAAACCACCAAAAGGTTTCAGAGTTTGTTCGAAGAACAAATTTTGCACACACATCAGTGTATAAGACAACTAGTGGGACTTTAACTTAAATTTATAATGTACGCTTTCTTTGATTTCCTTTAGGAGTAGATCGATAAGTTGGTTGACCGATATATTGGGTCAATATTTACATCGGCATCTGCCGATATTTTTCATTAGTAAAGCCGATTTAAAGTCCTCGGGCAGCCCGATGCTGTTGCAGGGTCGAATTTAAATGCATTTTTATGTTCAGTAATAAAATCTGCATAATAAATACTGTAAATTAACTTTCTTTAGGTGTCTGACTTTAATACTGAGAAGTAGGGGTGCTCTGATCTATCTGCCCCGATCTCTGTTTTTTTTTTTTTTTTTTTCCAAGATCAGTGATCGGCGAAAGACTGCAATTGGTGCACCCCTAGTTAATGTTAAAGCAAATCATTGCTATAGAATACATTTTTTGGACAAGTGTGTCAAAATGGGTACAAAAGTTTTGTTTTAAAAATGAGAAAAATGAAAGTGTAATGAAAGTCTAAAGAAACAAATATGATTTTGTATTTCAAACAGCAATGCTAATATGCTCATTTATATTTGAGAACATTACCTCGTGTCCAGTTGAAACTGGTATTGTTTCACGAGTATTCATATTGGGGTTTTTTTTTAATAAAAGAAAATTGAAACAACTACCTAACCTGCTTCTAGTCAAGACAAAATCTGTATCAACAAAAATCGGTATCGGCAAGAAGCGGTATCGGCAAGTAAGGTTTTTTTCAAGATCAGTGATCGGCCAAAAACTGCAACCTACTGAGAAGTGCTCAAAGTTCAAATTTAACAGTAAGTTAAACTCAGTGTTGAAAAACTGATTCAGCTTCAGAAATGTTGTGCATCAACTGGTTATTAGTGATGTTTTTGCATGAAAAGAAGGTGGAAAACATCTAGATATTGGCCATGAAAATCGTCAGTACATATCAGCCATTGGCTGACCATGTCTCCTACTTATCGCCATTGGTATCGGCAATAGAAAAACCAACATTGGTCGACCTCTAATTTCTAATTTCCCCCTTCAGTTTACTTAATTCTGTGTCACTAATCTTTTTTTTACTTTATTTAAAATATATCATTTTTAAATCCCTATTTCATCTAAAGTTACATACTGATGTAGTCAGTATTGGGTTTTTACTTGAAGAGAACTTGTTGGAACATTGTGTTGTTCTACATCCAGCATTTTCATCTATAATAGACAAATTTACTGATTCATCAATATTTCAGTTAATTTGTTCCCCTTTGCTCTGTGCTTCCAGCTGGGGGACTTCCTTTGGAGATCAGGGATACATCCGGATGGCACGCGACCAGAACAATCAGTGTGGCATCGCTCTTTACGGATGTTACCCCATCATGTAGCTGAAGCCAAACTGAATTAGATGAAACATTTTCTTTTAGCTGCAACTCAACAGTTAAAATTTAAGTAATGTTAATGTTTTAATTTAGTATTTTTACTTTTGAAAAACTACTTGATTTCTTTGCCGAGACAGTGATTCACACTTGCAGTTATCATATGTGGCAGATTTATACTTTTCTCTTACAGAAAGACACATCAGAGATATTTTTAATAAATGTAAAAAATGTGAGGTTATAGTCAACTAGTAATCCTGGAACTTAGAATGAAATCAAGAGCGAAGACAAAATTATAATGATCCTGTATTTATGTGTGACACCTGACTGGGCTGGCTCTAGTATAAATGTAAAGTCTTGCCTCCATGTAAACAAATGGGACATGCTTTAGATTTAAAACAGTAAATCAAAAGAATTTTCTAGGTGTTGACTGTTGTTTTGTGGTCTTAACCTTCTGGATTAACTAAGCAAATATATAAAAGCCTCCCATTGGATAATTACTGCATGGCAGCAAGTTATTTACCTACAACTGGTGCAATGGGTTGCTTCTCACGTCTTTAACAACCATGTGGAAAGACACATCTGGTAGTCGTGGAAAATCTGTTAGTCTGTTTGAGAAGGTTCACATTATTAGCATGCATCAAGCAGAGAAAACATCTAAGGAGATTATAGAAATGATTAAAACTGGGTTAAGAACTGTCCAACTCTTTATTAGAAACTGATCTGATGAGTCCTGATGGACCCTGTTCCAGAGTGATGTGTGCATCAGGGTAAGAAGAGAGGCAGATGAAGTGATGCACCTATCATGCCTAGTGCATACTGTACAAGCCTGCGGGGGCAGTGTTATCATCTGGGTTTGCAGCTTATTGAAACAATGCCACAGCAAATGCATATATATATATATATATATATATATATATATATATATATATTATGACACTCTCTTATCTATGAAATTTGCAGACTCTGCTTTAGTCTACATCCTCAAATGCCTGGCCACACTCTGTGATTGACATCTGTACATAAACAGGTGTCTAACCCTATTGGCTAATGCTTAGCGACTTTCAAATCAAATTACATGGTGCTCTACGGAACGGGGGCGGGCTTAGCAAAAAATAATTGGTTACACTTTAGGGAACACAAAATGTGTGTCACAAATTAACCATTAATTAGCTGCCAATTAATATGCTTATTAGTGAACTGCTAAGTCTGAATTAGTCATTATTTAGCTATAATTAGGTTCTTTTTACCAATGCTGTAATTCTAATATTAACAGGCCATAAATTAAGAATTTTATCAAAGTAAGCCATTCATAATGGTTTGTTAACTGAAAGTAAATGGTTTGTTGCTGATTAACACACATACTAATTAGCTCAAATCCATGTGGCTTTTAAAGAAGTAATTCATGGGGAATAGTTAATAACCAAAAATATTATGTTCTGGTATTATGTAAATAAACACCAAACTCCACATGTTAATAGAGCCTTAGCAACAATCGATTAACCACTTGTAAGCAAGAATATGTTCCCCATTCTAAAGTCAGATTTTGTTCATACCTAATTACCTTTAGTATTAATTAACCACTTAAATGCAAGAATATGTTCCCCGTGAATTACTTTGTTAAAAGCCACATATTGATTTGAGCTAATTAGTATGTGTGTTAATCAGCAACAAACCATTTACTTTCAGTTAGCAAACCATTATGAATGGCTTATTTTGATAAAACTCTTAATTTAGGGCCTGTTAATGTTAGAATTATGGCATTAATAATAAGCTCTTAATAAGTGCTTAATATTGACTAGTTCAGACTTAGCAGTCCACTAATATGCATATTAATTGGCAGCTACTTAATGGTTAATTTGTGTTCCCTAAAGTGTTACTAAAAAAATCACACAATTCCCAAAAGGGGGAAATCTCCAGATTGCTGCTTTAAAGTCTGTTTCAAAAACGGAATTGATCGATGTTCCATTTAGTAGAATAAAATCCTGCAAATCTTTGTTTCCAAATTCTACAAAAACAGACCAAATAACATCAGCAGAGTCATGGCGTTGGGTTACAAATGAGTCATTTTTATTTTTTAGTGCAACATCACAACAAACAATTTTCACATGAGGTATTCAAAGGGATTTTCTTTAGTTGTTGATACAAAACGTCCCACCATGATTGATGTTTAAAGTGTTGTGTATCTTTTCTATTTTTACTTTAAGCCTTTGGTTGGTTAGCCACATTCATAAGAGGAAGTCTAACACAAGGACAAGAATGGCACGGTAAAGCATGGTGGGGTGGGGGCTCGGACCCAAACACTAGCTCTTCCTCACTTAAAGCTTTTTGTATGGATTTCATTAATTCCTACTTACAACAGTGGGATCAAACAGTATTTCTACTACACTAAACATCAGGAAATAACGGGGGAGGGAGAAAGGGTGGGGGGCGGCTTACAAATGTGGAAAAATAGCTTCTTGTCTTCTTTGACCTTTTTTATTTCAGGATGAGAGCTTGATTCTTGAGCCTCTTGGGCTTAATTCCTTTTTTTATGGAAAACAAGGAACAGGCAACGTTGATTACAGCAAGAACCTCCTTGCTTAGATTGTCACCTCCTTTTTTGGTTTTTTTGGTCTTGAGAATGACTTTAGATTTATATACAGAACATGGATGGATGGGACACTAGCGTACTAGACTTCAGCTTTGGCTGGACGGGAGCCTCGTTTGGCTCCTGTTTTGGATTGATTCCAGCACATTTGGTTTGGAGTTCAAGGCATGATGAAGAAGAGACGGATGGACAGACGAGACAGATAGTTTAGATCGACAGACACCCTGACAGGATGGATTCTTTGGTTAAGAAATATCTTTTTCACACAACATCTCACACAGTTGAGGTAGATGGGTAAAGTCTTTGTGGACACGAAGGGAAAAGGCATGGGGACAGACACGGAGACACCGGGGCTTACAGTCTAAAGACGTCCATCTGAAGACATGGCCTTGTGTCAGTGTCTCAGTTCCAACTCTATGATACTGATTCTACCCACAGAAAGTCCTCTGAGTGCTACTGCAGCTCTGACAGGAAGCTGCTCAAAACAACCGGTTCCTCTTTGGTAGTTTTCCTTTTTGGTTGAAAGATACTCGAAACTATTTGGCTTGTTTCCTGACTTCAGGGTTTGGCTGGACGTGACACCAGGGGGTGCTGCAGGCTCAAACGGTTTCACCTGCAGCACCCCCCTCCCTCCTGCCTCCTATGCTCAGAGAAGGATGAGCTTCCCTGCTTGACACAGAGCAGAAGGTGGCTCTGTCTCCATTTTAGGCTCCTGGTCAGAGAGACAAAGGGAGACCTGAAAGGTGTCACCTCAGCTTTGATACCCTGACAGGGGTCGGCCTTCAACCTCTTTTATTTTAAATTTTTCTCCACCCTCACCCCTTCTCCAGCACCCCCCTTTAGCTCTCAGCATGCTTACAATTGTCACTCATTAAAGTTTAATCCAGTTCCATGCCCCGCTACTCCAACACCTCCTGTTCCTCAAACAACCCCCTCCTATTTCTACTCCTTCTACACACAAACACACCACAACTACCATCCTCATTCTGGATGATTCTGCCTCCTCTCTGATCTCTCACACCAGCCACCCACCCACCCCCGCCCACCCCTTTTTGAATGCCCCCCTAAAGCCCACAGGTCTGGCCAACAGCGGACCTCGGCCCACGGACCCAGAGAGGAGACGGGGGGAAAAAAAGCCTCCCCTTTGAAGTCGGCGAAAAAGTCGATGGCCTCTTTAATGACCGCTCGTCTTTCAAGTGCACGCTGTGAAGGGGGCTAGACCAAACCGCCTCTTCTAACGCTGAAGAGAAGAGAAAATGAGACGGAGAGCGAGGGTGGAATACAGCCGTGTCAGCCTCATTACTGTTTGGAAACATTTACACAAGAGTCAGAGAGCAAGGTCTTTGGTCCTGATTTATGCTTCTATCACACAAAACGTAAAATCTAAACATTTGTGCTACGCAAAGCTGCTCTGAGAACCTCGAAGGACTAGGGGAAGCATTCAAGGAGATCGAAATGATCAAGATTGGTGCTTTATGTCTGTGCAAAACAAATATTAGATACTAAAGGCTCCAAAAAGAGGAAGATCTAAACATCAATAGCACAGAAGGCTGGAGAGAAACACTCAAATCCAAACCAGTATCTCACTGGGCTGAGACTGTTGGCGGCAAACTTTGACTGGAACCTGGGAGGCGAGCTCCAGTTGTCTCAAAACACTTGACACTCCCTTTAATTGCAGGGCCTCGCTCTTGTTGACGCTATTTTAACATGCTTGAAAAAGGTACACGATTATCTCAATCCACACTACTGCAGATATTTCTTAAAACTGGGATTTTCTGATGTGTTTGATCTTCCTTTATCCTTATGTAGCATTGACAGTCTGGACACTTAAAAAACAGCTAAAGACCCTTTTATTTAAAGCTGCTTTTACCTAAATCTTTCATTTTCTCATGTTTAACTCAAATTAGTAGTCTTTCATCTGTTTATGAAATTTTATAATTTTATGACTTTATTTTTCTGATCTGATCTATTTCTGTATTGTGATTGTTATGATTTAATGACTTAGTTTTATTTAGTTTTGATCTGTGTGAATCACTTTGTGATTCTATATCTGTGATAAGTGCTATATAAATGAAATTACCTTACTTACTACTTCTCTCCTACACATAAACTGATATTTTTGTTGATAAAAAATTTTTTTTTTTCAGAAACCCCTTCCAAAGTAGCGATATAAAAGTGTGAAGCATCAGTGTAGATGGGAGATACGGAGGCTTTTTCATGCAAATCCATTTTTTAAATCACTCAAAAGACAGAAATGAAAACGAGTAAACAATATTATGAAAGAAATAAAAAAGTTTTTAGTCAAGCTAAGATTTAGGGATAGACCGATCTATCAGTTGGCTGATGTACCCCTTAATAAACCAATTTAAGGTCAGGCACATCCCTGGACACCCTGGTGCTGCTGCAGAATTGAATTTAAAAGTATATTTACGTTCCTGACTAACATTTGGATAATGAATGCTCTAAATGTTTAACTAAAATGCATTTTTGGTTCCATTAACTGATTTGTTTGACTAACTTTAGTTAAATATCTGACTTTTACAGTTGTTTAAATTCAACGCCCAAAACCGATTCGTCGTCAGAAATTCTGCACATCAACTGATGTTATTAGTGACATTTTAACATGCAAATAGGGTGGAAAACATCTAGATATCGGCTATGAAAATGGGCCACAACAATCGACAGCACATATCAGCCATCGGCTGACCGTGACCTTTACATATGGGCATCGGTAATGAAAATAAACTATCATAACTATGTTTTTTTCTCTGTATTTTGATGGTTTGTTAAAGAAATATTGTGGTGTGAGTACTTCAGCATTTTTGTTTCAATCGTGTGGATGGCAATATTTTTCTGAACAAAAACACAATTCCGTCAAAAAAAAATCTGGGGTTTCCTTATGAAATGTCAAACAATTTAGGAGTAACATCATTTTTTTGTGGTTCTTTGTTATACACAGAGTAAGAGGAGCTTGTTTTTACCTTAGCTGACATGTTCCGACGTCTACTGCCGCCTTTGTCAGAGCTATTGCCGATGTTAGTGACGTCACTTCCGTTTAACTGCGGACTACTGCCCGCGTCTCCTCCGTTGGTCGCTATGTCCCGTGAGAAGTCCAGCATGGATACTCCTTTGTCCCTGCTCATACTTCTGGATCCACATCTCCTTATCTCGATCGCCTTCCTGATCCATCTTTTGAATTTCTGTTCCCAGTCCATTATGGATTAGAGATTAGAGTATGCATACTCATGGGACATTGTGATCAGCGGAGGGGGTGCAGGCAGTGGAGGGCGACATCGTCCTCTGCTGCCCGCAGATAAACGGAAGGGACGCTAACAATATCGGGGATAGCTCTGACGATGGCGGCTGTAGACGTTGGAACATGTTAGCTAAGGTAAAAATGAGCTCCTTTTACCCTGTATAACAAAAAAACCCATAAAAAATGAACTCAGGAGTAAATTCTGACCATACTGAAAAATAATTAAGACATTTTGCAGCAAAATTTTAGCAAAAACTTCTGCATGAGCATTCCATGAATATTACAGTTGGTTCTCAGTTTGTCACATGCTCCACGTGACCTGGAAACTCCCAAAACAGCATGAGTGAAATCAAAAATTTGCACCTTTTCTTGAAATGTTCTGTCCATAATCGCACCCCGGAGAGACACTGGCTTTAGTGCACCTCTAAGAATAACAGAGGAACATATCTAAACAATATCTCAAACAAAGAAAGGTAAGAGGCATCCTGGTGGAACTGAGACAACTGGCAGAAGAGCTTAAGATGAAGACGGGGGAGACAGTGAGACCACACTGAGTTGGACGTGAGTGTCCACACTCCACAGGTACGGCGTGGGGGGGGGCTGTCACAACCATGCACGTTTAGCCAAGCAGACAAACAGCAGCACACACGTTTGCATGTGACCCTGAAGGACTCTAAGCGGGTCCCCAGACACTTTGCACACTCCTCCAGATGGCATCGCTCCAAATCCAGCCTCACAACTTCTAAAGCCCAAGCGTCGCCACGCCATCTTTGTCGTCATTACTATTCATAGGATTATTAATTATAAGTAATATCACAACATTCAAACAAGCTTTGGCCTTGGCATTAAGATCTGACGGCAGAGACATTTGCAAGTCTTCCCCAATAACCTACAAAATACAACAAAAAGAGAAAGGCCAGGCCTATAAGATCGAGAGATACTCAACATCACGGGGTGGTTGGATTGGGTCGGGATCGGGATCAGGGGTCGGGGATTCAGGCCGTACATTCAGGGAGGCAATGTTAATCTTTGGTATTACGATGGGATTCTACAGCTAAAAGTGCCCATCAGAAAAAAGTCTTCAGTATCACACAGACATACGGAGCAGTGTTAAATAAATACTTACAGCATATAGATAGCATCAATAAATTAGCAAATAAATACAGAAGGGAAAAGAGAAAACAATAAATACACAAATGCAGAAATAATTACGGTGATCAGATCAGTAATTGCATTTGGAAAGGTTTGATTTATCTACCGGCTAAAAGGAGGCGTGTTAAAGCCTTTCCTTTGTGGACCCAAAAAAAATAAATTAATAAATAAAAACGACCTTAAACGTCAGCGGGGCTGAAACAAACGGCCCCGCACTTCCAACGTGTTTCTATAAATACAGCAATGTGCTTGAAATCTGTACAAAAAGGGCAGAAAGAATCACATTCCTCCATTTTTCTAGACATCTGTAAAAAAAGACTTCAGAATGGAGCAGAGGTGCGTACAGTTGTTTGGAAATGATTTGGAAAAAAATACTTAAATGTCACTATACACGTCTTCTCTAGAAACCTCTCTGTTCCGACGGGTTTGCTCCCTTCTGGGTTTTTTTTTTTTTTTGTGGCTTGGTTTCGAGTAAACGAAAATGGCTGTGGAGCTTTCCTCTGGAAGCTCGGCGAGAGTCTTAAAGCTAAACGGTTGCATCAACAAGTCTGCTTGGGCGTCCTACTTGTGTTTATTGATTCTATCCCGGCGTACGTCGAGATGCACCAAACTGTAGATCCCTCTTGAAACCTCTGATTAATTCAAGGCGAGACCATTTTGACAAAACGCCGTAGATGCTCTTGTTGACGGTTAGTGATTGACAGTCGGGGGTTTACGGACACTACAGAACCCTCCTGATTATTCCAGGCTCCGAACAGCACCAAACAGTCCTGGGAACCATCACCATGGAAACACATGCTAAGAAAGGGGAATTGATTTCTTCACATAAAAAAACAGGAATTAAAAAAAAAGAAAGCCTTTTCTGCCTCCTTGATTCTCGAGGAGGAAAAGGGAACATTAGGGGGTAGATTAACATCTTTGGATGATGGTGATCACTTTTGATTAAAAGGTTACAAATGGAGCTCTCCAGGTGTGAGCAGACTTCTCCTCTTGATTCTTCACGTTTGGAGAGATGAGAATAAAAGTTCATGAAGGTTCATCAAAATATGCTTCCTCCTGATTTGTGACACCCTCATTGTGTCTAACCTACATAATCAAAATAATGCAATGCGATGGGCCTATGTGCGGGTGTGGATCTTCTCTCAGTCGAATCATCTCTGCACCCTTGACTATACAAGCAGGAACTCATATCCTGCACTCGTATCATTCTAGGCATCGCCTCTTTCTATTTCAAAGAGGCGATCGACTTTGGTTTGGGGAAAACAAAGCTTCATCTTCGTTAAATCATCTCTAACTGCTGGCTCCGTCGCTCCTTCTGATAACGAGGAGGACATTTGTAACTGCTGATCTCCACCCAGACCAGTCTATGTGCCCCCTTGCTCCTTCAGTGCCCTCCCCAGTGCACCTCCTCGGCGGCCTGTCGTCACGCAGTGCTGCAAGACACTGCGGAGGAGGAAACGCTGGAGCCCGAGGAGCCGGTGGAGGAGGGGCGCCCCTCGTCTGCCCACTTGTTGAGGTTGCGTCGGCGGGCATTCATGAAGAAATTGCTGACGGTGGAGAGCTCCAGGCCCAGCTGCTGGGAGATGGTGACCTGCAGCTCTTTGGTGGGGCGGTGGTTCTCCCTGAAGATGGCCATGAGCGTGCGCCGCTGCAGGTCTGTGAACACCAGCCTGGTGCGCTTGGGGCCCTGGTTGCGCTCCAGCTTGCTCTGCTCCTGCTCCTTGCGCTTGCAGGCTGCAGGCATATGGATGAGAGACGTATTAAGAAAAACAGGAGTTAGCTAACAGGCTGGCTGGCTAACTAGGACAAATGGATTAGGCTGAGGGAAAGTGGATTTGTTGAAAGAAAACAGATTAGTTAAGCAAGTTTGATTAGTTGAAAGAGATGAATCAGCAGCTTGTTTCATTGTGCCGTCAAGGAATCAAGACGTTTAATCTTTCACGTCTTGTTGCCAGTGAGCTGCTGATGGCTGCCGGTGATAAAAGGAGCAGGAAAAATCACATCAAAGCCGACGCTGATGTCTTCAATCATGTCTTTTTAATGTTTATTCATTCTTTTTTAATGATTTTTTTTTCAAGTCTGGTGCTATCACTAAACACATTTCTTTAAAAGATCCTTATTCAGAAATTGAATTTGCTTTTATTTATATTTGCAGCAGAGGAAAGTCTGCCTCAGATTCACACATAAAATCTGCATAGATTCACTGATAGGTTAATGATAAATGTTAAATAACTACATATTAATAAGGAGCGCCTCTGCTTGCAGACGATAGCTGATGTAAAACTCTGGGTCTGTATCCCGCGGGGTGTTAAGATGCATTGTTTCTTGTTAAAGTGTTAAAGCTGTTGATGCTCAAACGGTGCACATAGGGGACCGAGGTGAAAAAGTCCGATGGAGATTTTCATATTGGTGTTGCTCGTATTATTCATCCAAGGCAGCCGTGCATCCATCAGCAGCAAAATCAAAACACGGGGTCTGGGTTAAACACTGCTGCGGCCACAGCGGCCTGCTCAATTATAGAATCAATATTCGCTCACGAAAAAAGGTCTGAAATTTAAATAATTAAAACAAAAACACCAAGAACCTGCAACTCGGAGCCCGTTGTGTTCAGTGGCGAGTGAGTGGGCCGCCTTCAGACTCAGACCAGCATTTTGAATTCAGGCTGCATGATCCTCTGCATGAATATGGCTGAGCCCGTCACCTCTAACACGCTGTAATTCTGTATTTACAGGAAACACAACACCAACCTCACCAACTCCTCACCCCCACCCCCCCAACCCCCCTCCTATTTCTCCATCCATCTCCCTCCACTTCCTCCCTGTCTCCTCCCCCCTTAGTGGACACTATACAGCATCATTAGTTTCACATAAAAGTCATTTGCATGTGGCGGCAGCCGGTGAGTAATAATCACTTCAGGCGGAACTCATTTATTTTCTGTTTAGGAAGGGTGACGTCAGGGGTGAGGGAGACAAGCAGAGTCGGCATGGCTCAGGGTGTTCAGAAGTCTTAAGTGGACAAAAACATATTTGGGGAGTCGTGCAATTACCTAAATGCACACTTTTAGGAGGTTTCAATCAGACTGTCGGGGGACCGTTCTGCTGATGGTATCTGATGTTTCTAGGAGTAAGCACTGGAGTTTGTGCACACACCAGCAGCACCAACACATAAACATCTCCTGTACCGACACAGATCGCTTTATACTCATCTAAGTGTGACAGATGTGCATTTTTAATGCGTAACTGTCTCTACAGTGGACAGCTGCTTAAATGGTTTCTACTGGGGTTAAACAAAGCTGTTGTTGCCTTTGAGCCTCCTCACTGGACTACAGTGGGTCAAGCCAAAAATATTAAAGCTTCAGAACCGGACTGAACTGGACATGTAATACTTTTTTTTTTCAATTCAATTTAAAAATGTCTGTTGAAATTTGTTCCATTAGTAAAAAAAATGTCCTGATTGAAGATTTCATAATTCATGGGTGAAAGGGTAAATTTAGCAATCTGGGATTAGAAAGACCTCAGACAATGTCAAATATATAAATAAATATAGTTTTTGTGTTATTAAATGATCATGAATTCAATTTATTTTTTGATTTTTCCTCTTAAAATGTTTTTATAAAAGAACTGAAAATTTAAAATGGTGAATAGATTATTACAGTGAAGTGTCGGAGAGTTAAATCTGAAAAATGTTAATTACAAAAAAGTTAAATGAACAATTATTTTTAGGCTTTTTTGTATTAAAAAAAGAACCCTTTTTTATGAGAAATAACTTCTTTTTTTAATTAATTTTGAAGAATCTTTAAAAGACAAAACTGGTGAAACTGAAAAAATTAGAATATGTTGCAAAAGTCCATTTAAATTGTAATTTACCTTCGACTGAGAGACCATCTAAAGGCTCAGGGACACTTTGCAGGTGTTTTGCATTCATTAGATGATTAAAGTGTGACACCTTGAGTCTAGAATATTGAACCTTTTAATATAAGATGTAAGCCATAATCATCACAATTATAACAAATGAGGCTTTAAATATCTGGCTTTACATGGAATGAATCTATCTCAAGCATTGGTTTCACCTTTAAGTTGAATTATTGAAATAAATGAACATTTGCAAAATAATTCAACGTCAATAATTGGATTATTCTTTTATTACTGATAAAAAGGAACGTGTTTGAGCACAAAATCACGGCTTCTAGCCAAACCAGACATTTTAAAAACCTTTACTGATGCCTTTCGCTCTCACAAACAGTCCTGACGCATTTAATTGATCGGTTTCCTGCTTCCCTGTGAGAAACGTTTCATATAAGGCTGCAGCTGCTGGTGTTTACTGTATGACCGAGTCTTCACTGCTCCAACCCACACCAGCAAATTTCTCTCATTAGCTGTGTGCTCGAGAAACAAGCGTGACCTTACTGCCCGCCTTTTCCCATTTTCCACACGGGCGGCATCACAACAGCGGCGTTGGGCCTCGGTGTGAGAGCTGCTGCTGGGTTTTGATCGCTCCAACATCCAGCTGAGTTTGTGAAACTCGAGCTCTCCAGTGGACGTGAATATAAATCTGAATTCCCTGAGAACATTTTACTCTAGAATCGCCATCTGAAGGAAATGTTCGGGACTCACTCTTGGAGATTACAGGGGCCTGTTAGCTTTTAGGGCATCAAGAGCTCGTTTGCATTTCTGAGAGTTATTGAACCGCGTCTCATTAAAATCTGAACAGGCTGAGCAGCGTGTCAATATCACCACAAGAGAAATGTTTCTTTCCTCGACTTGTTTATTTTTCCTCCAAATGCTACATTTTTCTCGGGTCTTACACCGCCCTCGTCGTCAGTATTTGTGGGTTGGGGGATGGGATGGACGAGCGTATACAGTGGTGCACTCTCGGCTCGTGTAGTAATGAAAGGAATGACATGATAGCGTCGAATAGCTTGCTTGTAGCGTGGATTTATAGCTTGCTGGAGGAGTCGCTGTGCCCTGCCTCCTCCTCCTCCTCCTCCTCGCCTCCATCCCGTCCTCGCCCCTCTGCCTCACAGACGATCTCAGCGTCGGCCATTAAGTAAATGCTTCCTTATGCTGTAATCATGTGTAAAAGGCTCACAATTACCATGCTATAAATCCCCGGCACTGAGGCTACTCCTGCAGATATAAATATTCCCCTATAGGCTTCTTATGATCGTGGGAACAGCCCCTAATCATGATGTATGCCCCTGTCTCGTGTTGCTGAAACGTGATCGAAAGTCCTTTCCCTACCCCCCGGCGTCTAAACCTGCATCCCCTCCTCGCAGCCAGAAGCCCCCCAGCCCTTCCCTCCTCGTCCTCTCTTTCCAGCCCCCCCACCCCCTGCTGATTTCTTGGGCCAGGGGCTGATAGAAATTATTGATTAAATCTGTGCAGCTCAGACTTCTCGACCCACAGAGGCTGGTTAACCCCTTCAGCGCTGGAGTTGGGAAGCTGCAAGGGTCAGATTAATAACAAAAGCAACGTTTGTCTGATGTTGCGCTGCGACTGTTTGTGATTCTTCGTATGCAAACCTGGAATTGGCGTTGACCTTTGAGCTTACACAAGACGAGCGTGAACTTGTACGTGGAGAGGCGGACGAGGCTTTGTGGTTTTACATCGCTGTGGGGGTTGGTGCAGGCGCTGGAGACGACACGTAAACCGCACTGACCTTTCCTTTTCACTCAGGCCTTTAGTCAAGGGCTTCGGCCATCATCTTTAAAGTTACAGGCTCTGATCCCCTCCTTGACTTTAAGTGTCAAAGAGAGGCTGCGCGGTCTTTATCCCGCCCTCTTCTGTGACTAAATTCTCATTGCCTCCTCCGCAGCCCGAGGTCGGCCTGAAGATGCATCTCATATGCGGCGCAGTAATCCATAGAGCACGCACACACAAACTAGATGCTGCGGATGAATCCGAGGGATCACCTCCTCCATGTTTTTGCAAAGTGTCTCTGCAGAACGACGGCTATTTGAAAAGACAAAATGGCAGCGACTGCATTCCATAATTACTGCGATTCAAGCTTCAGGGGGAGAGCTGTGCAGCTTTCTCCGCAAGAGACATAGTTATGGAAATAACACAGACTCTAAAGGGCCGTCTATGTGTTTAAGCGAGTGCCGCATTAAGGAGGATCATCTTAAAACTTGAGGCGTGGAGCGGAGAGCACTTGAGCTGTCTTCAGACTGGGGAGCACAGGGCACAGCGCATTCTAATTCCAGTCTCGATTTGCCGATGGGAGCGAGGTGTGTGTGGGCAAAGCGTGCTGCTCTTTCCCATGGAAATCAATAGAGGCTTGTAATTAAACAAAAGGGGGTTGGCCAGGGGAGGAAAAAAAAAAAGAAAGAAAAAAAAACCAAAACAACCCCCTTCGGAAAGTAGGTTATGTAGAAAAGTGCCGAGCTGTCTAAATTGTGGCTTTGCCAAGAACTAAATATGCAGTTTTAGAGTGTGTGGGAGGGAGAGAGAGAGAGAGAGAGAGAGAGAGAGAGAGAGAGAGAGAGAGAGAGAGAGAGAGAGAGAGAGAGAGAGAGAGAGAGAGAGAGAGAGAGAGAGAGAGAGAGAGAGAGAGAGAGAGAGAGAGAGAGAGAGAGAGAGAGAGAGAGAGAGAGAGAGAGAGAGAGAGAGAGAGAGAGAGAGAGAGAGAGAGAGAGAGAGAGAGAGAGAGAGAGAGAGAGAGAGAGAGAGAGAGAGAGAGAGAGAGAGGGGAGCAATGTCAAACATTAAAACACTTCTCTGTGTAGGCTTTAATTTTTTATGAGTCTGATTGATCGGCTGCTCAGACGTGGCACACTGACTCACCGAAATAATGTTTGTGTTTGTAAAAATGGAGGAAGAGGGTGATTGGGTCCTGACGTTTGATCACAACGAGCGTGTTGTGGTTTTTCCAGGACCAGCTAAATAGAAGCGTTGTCTGCATACAGAGCGTCCACACACCACGATGACGTTAACACGATTGGATTAAACACGCCACGTTTTGAGGCCAAATTGCACAACAAACCCAAAGATAACTTATCTCCAGATAAGATGTTTTGCTCGTGATTGCCGCTGCGTTTTGCTGAATGGAGGATGTACACATGTGCTCTCGGAGTTGAACAATCAAAGATCAATAATGGCGAAGGGATTGCAAGAGTGCACAATCATTACCTATGAACCCCATTGTGTTGTTGGGCTTAATCAGTCGAGCTGCTGACAGAGAGCGAAAAGCAGTGATGAGCTGGGCAGGCTCGCACACACGCACGGCTCAAAGACCCCTGCAGTGAGCACGCCACATTCAAACACACACACACACACACACACACACGTCTGTGCTCGTCTCATATTACTGTGCTCGCTTGGATTTCTCTGCGTGCCGCGTGTATCAGATGGGCCCTCGGTCCCCGTGGAGGGACAACACTGTAACACGGCACTGTACGGCGTGCTGTCGTGTCTTCAATCCACGTCCCCAAAGAATATTAAATGTCAAGCAGCAGATTACAATGTGCCTTTCAAAAAATAAAATCTTTGCACTAAAAATCTGTACATACGTAAGCCGACGAGGAATAGCTTAAAAGTAAAAACACGCCAACGTGCACCCGTTTTCCCCAAACCTGCAGAACATCCTTATTTAGTCTCGCAGTAATTGCCTCGGAGACGGCGTTGATAACAGATGCCTGGCGGACGCTCGGGTCTCATTTGCATCAGGTGCCTTGCCAAGTCAACTTCAGGGCCGGCGCTGAGCAGATATAAATCATGGCTCAAATGAATCAATTGCTCCAGAATGGCATATCTGTTCAAATCATTTGGTTGGCTCAAAAGCGATTAAGTTGCCAACCGCTGCTCACGCTGATCTTCATGGTTCATTTGAGAGGAGGGCAAATGTCTGAGGTGCCTTTTTTTTTCATTGTGGCTACTGGCTACTGTACCAATCAATAGGGGGTGTTTGGGAGCAAAGTAAACAAAGGAACGCTGCATTTGGTCCCCTTTTATAGTCAAACCGTCCTCGATGTGCTGCTAAGTTTTCATCATTGATATCTGATTAGAGAACAGACGAAGCAGTTGGACGTTGTCAGAGCAAAGAGCAGAAACATCCGAGTGATGCTTTTGGTTTTCTTCATGTGTGAACCTGTGCTGCATACTGATCGCTGAAGAGTATTTTTTGGGAAGACATGGAGAAGGGAGGTGTTTGGGGAAAACACGGGAAAGAGAGTGTGTGTGTGTTGTGCTTTCTGAGTGAAGGTGAGGGTGTATGTGTGAGGCATATAGAGAGCAAAGCCAGATCTTACCCTCCAGCCGGAGCGAGGCCATTCTTGAAACTCCGGTTCCTGCAGCCAGCGAGACATCCTCTTGAAGGTCTCGCGGCCAGACTTGAGCTTGCCCCAGGGCTTGGGGTTCCTCAGGAGGTCAGACAGCGTGCCCTGTGACCTACACAGAACCCTTTCGGCGAAGATGGCCTGGGGGATGCTGTACCTCTTCAGCTCAGTGATGATCCTCTGGGCCACATCCCTGGTGTTGATTTCCTCCCCGCCGCTGCCTCCGTTGCCCTGCAAGCCGGGCAGCATGCCCTCGCCGGGCGAGGATGAGGCGGATGAGGAAGAGTGGAGGTGCTCGCCCATCTTGGCGGTTTGCTGGCTAGGGTGATGGTGAGGTTGGTAGTGCTGGCTGTAGATGTGAGGGTGGTGGCTGGGGTGTGCTGGTGAGCCTCCATTTTATTTAGCTGATGTCCAACTGACACATCGCCTCCCCCCCAGCCTGGCGGTGACATCTCTCGACCGAAATCTGATGTCCGGCAGAAGAGGCTCCCTCCGTGGACATCGTAACCGCTGTGGAGCATCTGTCCACCATTGCCATTGGGGCTATTGCCCAGGTTGCCGTAGCCATGCATGGACGAACCCAGGCCTGATGCCGCGGAGGGGGGCGACAGGCTTTGGGACATAGCCAGCTCCTTGCCATAGGGGTTGTAGAAGTTGGCGCCAAGGCCCGATCTTCTCTCATAAGGGTGAAGCTGCCAATAACGTTGCTGATGGGAGGCAGGGGTGATGGTGATGGTGATGGTGGAACTTGTCATCAAATGGCTGCAGGGAGTGAGGGTGGTGTAGGTGCTGCCGGAGCTGGACGGGGAGTCTCCGCTGTAGCCCAGCGCCGACATTGAGTGGTCATAACCCGGCGGACGGGGCTCCGGTTCCAGAGACATGGAGGAGCTGCCGAGGGACGGCCTGGGGAAGGCCGCTGAAAGGTCCCTGGAGTGCAGCATGGCTCTGCCGTCCTGGCTGTGGGACAGATCCGGGTGGCCGTGGAGGGACATCTCCCCTAGACCCACATCCATCTTCGGTTTCAGCAAATAATGTGTACTCGGTGGCTACGTGTGCTGCTGCTGTCCTCCTCTTGTTATTGTTGTTCAACAGCCAGGCTAACCGGCTCTTGTTACACCAGACTATGGATTTATTGATTTGTGAATTAATTGATTTCCGGGCTTATGGGTGTCTAATTAATTATCTGATAACATTAAGTACTGTCTTCAAACTCCCCTCAAACTCCCAGAGAATGAGTCTGCAGCAGCACGAGGAGTCTCGGCTCTTCTTTTATTCTCTGTGGAGCATCCGCGCGCTGTTCGCGTCTCTGCTGCTCAGCTGTTCTCTGGCTGAAGCGTCGCTTTTGTGCCTGCGTAACACAAAACAGGCGCTGTTACTGTAAAATATAAACCAAAGAGGAGGAAAACAGTCGCGTGCCTGCTCCCTCCTTTTATTAGAACCATTTACGCACGCGCGTGCTGAATTAACATAATCACAAGAGCGTTTTTACACATCTCCACCGCGCTTTACGCGGAGATAACGGCGATTACTTCAACTGTAGCTCATCTTAAATAAACTGGAAGTATTATTGTTATTCTAGAAGCAAAGTTAGGAATAAAGGTGAATATTAGCGGGTTGTTTCTGCTCTTAAATCTTCAGGAATATTTGAATAAATTGTTATTTTTGAGGTAAAGAAAACATTTGAGCTCCTACCTTTTTCCTACCCGGTTCTCAGAGCGCGTCCGCGGCTGTGGTCCGCCCTGAGCATCTCCCCGACTGTGTCGCCGAGTAGACCTACGGATTCACACAATTGGTCCGCTGCGCCCCGGGGTTCAACATTCACCAAAACCACAGCGCAGGGGAGCGGAAATAAAGAAAAAGCACACATCTGCGGTTGCAAACAGACCTCCCTCGCGCTCCTCGCTCTCCTGGCGTTTATTTTCAGTCTTTGCTCCTCAGAAATATCTCCGCGTCTGCGCTCCTGCTCTCACTCCAGCAGCTCGCCTCTTTTTCTTTCATTATCTCGTGAGATTTTCCTCCTCCTCCTCCTCTTCCCTCTCTGCCTGCCACTTCATCGATCTCACCACCAACTCTTTCTCCTTCTCCTCCCCTCCCATCCCCCCTCCCCCGGCTCACATTGACTCCCAGCTTTCAGTGCGTCACGGCCTTAAAAATCTGACAGTTGTGCGATGAAATTCCTACTCCAATTAACCCTTTCTCTTCAGGAGGGGGGTGGAGGTGCTCCGTTTCTCATAACCTCACAGGTTAAGACTCCTTCAGCTGATTGCATGCACGACTTCCTGCTGCGCTGCGCTGTTATATCGCGTCTGACCAATGGATTCTTTCTTTTTGCAAGCTGTTTAATATCGTTTTGTGTTTTCATGGATCACGTGATGCTGTTGTCACATTTTGAGGTTATCACAAATAATATGTTATTATTATTATTATTATTATTATTATGTGGCAATAACTCTAGAAAATAATCTAAAAATTACAATTAAGGATGAATTTTGAGTACTTGAAATGAAAAGTCTCAATAAAGGAAATAAGAATCCACTTCATGTGTTATTATTAGTGTTTTTTACAGAAAATAATTCTTAATGAATGTTATTTACTTATTTAGATTTTAAGTCCTCTCCTCCAATGTCTGCTGTTGTGATGCTCTCGGCTTTGTTCAATCATTTCATTCTGGAAAAACCCTCAACAATATCAAAGAGGACCCCCCCCCCCCCCCCCCCATTTTTTGTGTGTCTTCCATAAAACCCGCGACCTGCTGCTTCTCTACAGAGCAGGCCCTAATGTGAGCGTGTGCGCGTGTGCAGTAACGTCCAATAAATGCAACTTCGTGAGAACTGTACTCATAATTACAAGTGTGGTTGGTACGTGCAATTTGTCAAACGAGTAAACGCGCATGCATGCATGCCTGCGTTTGTGGACGCAGACCTTTGCACGTGTGCACGCACGCCCCTTTGGGTTGTGTGCCTTTACTATGGACGCAATAAATTGAATAATAAGCCTGCTCGGGCCTGTGCTTGCATGTTTTACGCGCGTGCCAACCTAGAAGAGGGAGAGACAGACAGAAAGTAGGGAGGCAGCGCGCGCATACTAATCATATCTGTCTGTCAGTTTAATTTTCAGAGATGAGCAGCTCTGGCGTTTGGAAACAGCGAAGCGGTGCGCGGTGTGGGACCGCCGGCTTCCCGGAGCAGATGCTGCCCTATCGATCCGCCCCAGACTGCACGAAGGGGATGCGTGTGTGGATGGCGAGTAGCTGGAGGTAAAAATGGTCAACGGCTACAAGCTTTTTTTTTTCAGAAAAAAAAGGGTCTTTTGGAGGTTGAGGTGAAAGTTCACCTGCTGGGGCCTGAAAATTCGAATTCGACCCAACTTTTCACCCTCCAAGGTTGCGCGCCCTCTGAGGCGTTCTGTCGTGACTGGACTAAACATTCAGCCGCACTCGTGATGAAAACTGAAACTTTGTGCGTAAAAATCATCATGGTGAAAAACATATGCAACATGCCGGTCCTTTAACTGGCAAACTGATGCAGTTTCAGGTTTTATGCGCAGGTCTGACATGCAACCATCAAATTAGAAAAAAATCTATTTCTTCTAGATTACTAGTTTAAAAAAAACTCAGCTGCAGATTTGCTTTTCAGTGGATCGAATCCTGCATTTTAATGTTAGGAACAGCAGAAAGCTAAACCGAGACCGTTGGGGTCAAAGGGCAAAAGTTATGACCCTAAAATGACCACGAATGAGCTGAAAACAAACAGAAGAAGAGAAGAAATATACTTTTCCCTCCCTTTCTTTGTTCTGATTAAGGATGGAGAGAGTCTAACAGCTCCTCTCCTGCAGACGAGTTTGCAGCCGCGGCTTGTCAAAATTCATAAATTCATATTTATTATAGGGAGGGGAAAAACGAGCAGAAGCTGGAGGTGTTTTCTGCAGCCACGGACGTGCTGGGAATGCAGGAGCGGAAGGCCTGCAAACATCTCCGGCACCAAGCTGCAGCAACAGGGTGGAGGAGGAGAATATTTCACTTTATTCTAACCTCCTCCCAGATCATCTGTTTAATCACCGATGAAACGTAATCACTTATTGGTGAATCATAATTGATGGAGCGCATGCGCGTGGTGGTTGTTTGGAATTGGATATTGACTCCCTGTTTGAAACAGGAAGCGGAAAATGATCTAAATGATGATTTTTTTTCAGCGTTTCAGGAAGAACAATCTGGGAATAAATAATACATGTTATTCAAATGTTAGTTCCAGAGATTAATTATGCCCCAATTTCACTCATTTGTGAAACCAAAAGTGTCATAGATGTTGTTTCTAGTCTGCAAACTCACACAATACAATAAAGAATACAAAACAAGTCAGAGATTTTTTAAACGCTTTATTTTCATGTGTTGTTACAAAAAGTCAATATTTTTTATAATTTTTTACATAAAAACACGACAAAACTCCTAAGAATTTTTTTAAAATTCAAATATAAAAGCTAAAAAATCAGCTGAAAGTTTGCATGTTTTTCAGACGTGGATGATTTTAATGAAGAGTTTATGCATCTTTAATTATATTAATAATTATAAAAGATTGCTGACATTTCCCTGAATTTGTTGATGTGCTAAATCCACGAACGACCGCACCGGAAATCCATTTTAATCAACCTTAATCAATTTATTTGGAACTCATCAGGATACTCGTCCTGCTGCATTTAAAAAAAAAAGAAGAAATAATAAACTTTGTTTTTAGGGGCAAAAATTACAATGAATAAATATTCAAAATTGGGGAAATGTAGCTGCTGTCAATAATACAATCGTTTGTCATTCAAAATAACATTTTATTTTTGTAATATTTAATTTAAAACATGCTTTCAAAGTAAATTGACAAATAGAAAATAAATATATTTTAACTGTTGTGGTTAAATGTTTGGTGAAAGAAAATATTAAAAGGTCTGGAATGTGCTATCAGAAATAACATCAATTTATAGTAAAATCTAGAGTTTTGCTAATATTTTAATAAAGTAATATTTGCGCAGAAGGTTTCACAGTGGCTTCATAATTCAGACAGGTGTGGTGACTTTCATTTTGAAAATTTATTTTAAACAGTTGTGAAATCAACTTTTTGCTCTAAAGTTGTGTTTTTATTTATGTAATTAATTAAAACATCACAGTGGGCTGCCCACGCTGATTTGTAAAAGTTTTGATTTAGGAAAAATAAAAAACTTTTCTACAATAATAAAAATAAATTGGTTTATAAAAACATTTTTATTTAAATATGTCTTAAGAATAATTTCAGTGACATTTTCTGTTCTGTTACAAATGAATGATTCATAAAATCATGACACTAGAAAAGCCTTCCTCCATTTCCTCCCTTTAATCCCCCTCCTCCTTTTTTCTCCCATGTCCAGCAAATCGATCAGAGCAATGTTTACCACTAGACCTAAATAATCGAAGACTGAATTAATGTGGTCAGACTGGACGTTAGTGGGAAACTGGAGAAAGTATTCATGATAAACTGATCAGGGTGCATCTCCAACTTCAAACGGAATCACGTGACAGTCGATGATTATTTTGGTCAAACAGAATAAAGCTTTTATGCAAAAAAAAACATTGTTAAAAATTATGCTTTTGATATATTTTACGCAAATTTCCCTCATATTAAGTACCAGGTGTGTGTGTGTGTGTGTGTGTGTGTGTGTGTGTGTGTGTGTGTGTGGCTGCTGCTTGCGGACTTGTTTCTATGCCGCCGAATCTGAGAGCGAATGTTGCGCCGGCCCAAGCTGGACAAGTGGCCCACCGGGACAGTGCCAGAATGCCAGACAGGCCATCCAACCCCTGCATGGGCTGGATTAGAACAAAATCAGATCTATGTTGTTCAGACCGTCCAAAACATATCAGACACGGTTCGCATGTGGAGATTTGATGCTTCTTTCAGTATGGTAACTGCCTGGCACAAATATGTAGCATCAGTGTGAGCACAAAGCATCCAGTAACTCTGAAAACATCATCATTTTAGAGTAGAAACAGCCCCTCGGCCGTATGCGAGGAGGACAACAGGTCTGTTTCCTGCACGGTTGATAAAATAAAGGCTTTTGATGAGGTGAGAAACTGATACCATCTCCTTGTGAAGGGAAGGGAATTCCTTCACCGTTCTCTCTGCTGGACCTTTATGAAGCAAACCGAGCAGCACGTACGTGGCCATA